GGCACAGAGCCCCTCCTGCCTTGGGAAGTGGCCCTGGCCTTGCCCCAGGCGGCTTAGTAGTAACCGGAGCCCTGTGGTCATGGGGAGGGCGGTATAGTGGGAGGCAGAGGGGCAGGGGTGCTGGGGCATCCTCCAGTCCGGCTGGAGCAGCAGGCTCAGGGGTACGTGGTGGGCAGAGGGAGGTGAGGCTGGAGAGGTGGGCCGGGGCGGATTGTGGGGGCCTGTGAGCAGGCGTAGGTAGGGGATAGGGTAAGAATCTGTACTTTCCCCATAGGGTGGATGGGCTACTGGTGGCTTCTGACTTCAGGGGCTCACCCCTGAGGTGTCTTGGCCCCGTGGTATTCCTGAGGGGCTGGCTGGACAGGAACCACTGTCTTCTATGTAGATGTGGACATGGGGACCCAGAGAGGGCAAGCTCTGCTTCAAGGTTACCCAGCCAGGGCTGGGACCCACATGTCCTGTCCTGGGTGGTGCTCTGGGAGCTCACAAGGGTAGAGACTTCACTGACATCCTGGGGACCCTGGGGGCCTTGTTCCCTTCTCAGCTGGGAGGTGAGCATGCTCATGGGCTTTCCTGCGGCCTCTTCCCACAGAGGCCTGCCTGGCCTCTCCTCTAGGCTGGAGGCCTGAAAAGGCGCAGGAAGGAAGCAGAACCAGGTAAGCTCATCCTGAGATGGTGTGAGTGAGAGTCATGAGGGATCTAGGGGCAGGGGGGCTTCCTGACTCACTGGGGTGAGAATCAGAGGAGCCTGCCTGGAGGAGGAGGTCTGACTATAAAGGACGGTCTGAGGCAGATGGGGTCAGGTCTTCACAGCAGCCTCTCTCCATCTCTCTCTTCCCGTTTCTGTTCTGTTTCCATCTCTCTGCCTGTTTGCTTTCTTTCTCTCTTTCTGTTTCCCTCTCACCTCTCTCTGCCTATACCTCCCGTGCCCAGTGCCTAGGGAGCTGAGGGCAGAGGGGAGCCGTCCCACTTGTGTTGGATAATTACCTGACTGTGGGCATAAAAGGAGGATCAGCCAGGGTCCTATGGGGGCCTGCCCTGACTCTCTAGTCCCATGTCCCCTTTTCCCCTGCATGGAAGTGATGAGCTCATTTTCGGTCCCTAATTAGCTCATTATGCCTTGGCTCGGGGGCCCTGGGACTCCTTGGGCCCGAGGGAGGGCTGGAAGTGAGCTGGGGCCCAGCTCAGCAGAGGGAGGAGTAGGGAGGAAATGGGCTGCCAGTTGGGGAAGCCAGCGGGGCAGGTTTCAGGAGCCTTTCAGAATCTCAATATCCTGGAGAACAAGGGAAGTGTAATTAATTGAGCGACAAAGGCTGGGCCCGCGGGAGCAGCCACAGAGCAGCCAGGCTGGGACTCAGCAGAGCCTCCCGGAGGCCTTTCTGATCCAGCCCCTTTCCTCAGCGGCTGCTGGCCCTCTGTGCCCGCCTCCCGCGTCTCTCTCATCCTCCAGGACTGCCCCTTCCTGCTGAAAGCGCAGAGGCACCCAGGGGCTCGGTCTGCTTAGAATCTGCTCCATTGACCTCCCTAACCAGTCACCTAGCATAGAGTCCTGAGGGCCTTAGGCCCCACTCTGCAGCCACCCCCCAGACGTGGCCTCAGAGGCCCTCTGAACTGTCACGCTTCTGTGCCTCAAGCTCCCGTCATCCTGCCGGGCCTTGTTCAAGTCAGCCCCTCCAGGAGCGTGCCTGGAGCCACCCCCTCTCCAGGTGAGGGCCTTTTCCCAGCTGTGGTCTCCTGTCCCCCTGCTACTAGGCACAACTCTGAGGGGGTGGAAGAATGGGACTTGTTCGTTTTGGGTTCTCCACGTACCCGGCATTGCAGCTGGCATGCAACAGTTGTAAGTGTTTGATGAATGAATGAATGAAGGGGCACCAGAAAGCCCTGAAACTGACGAACTTAACATCTGGAAGGATGACAGGGGCTCCTGTTCTATCTTCTTGCCTCCCTCATCCACACCCACCTGGCTACCCTGGTGAGGGTGTCTGTGGCGAGGTTGGGTGGCGAGCCCCAATTCACCCTGGCCTGCTCTCAGCTGGAGGCAGCAGCCTGGGAGGAAGCCCCACTGCCTTCCCCCAGAGGGGGCTGACCTGGATTTGTGGGGTGGGAGGATGGGGGCGGGCATTCATTATTGATTGGAAATCACCCTGCACAGAGCTTGTGATGCAAACCTCAAATAATCACCCTTGTTAACAACCACCTCAGCGTCACCCCTCTGGAATAAATAAAAAGCTGTACAGGGCCATTGTTCTTCTTGTTACCATCCTTCCATCCTCCCCTCTCCAATTTTCTACTTTCTCCCCTTGACTTACCACATCATTCAGCAAATGCTGACTGAACCTTTATTCTGGACCAGGACCTGCTGGGTTCTAGGAACACTGACTCTGACATAGGCCTTGCCCCCAGGAGCTTCCAGCCCTGTGAAAGAGGCAGGAGCATAAACAGAGGCGTATACACTAGGGCTAGAAGACTAGATGTTGATGTGAATGGGGCCGCCAAGTTGTGCAGTATGCAACATGCACAGCTGCACATGGCAGCTTAGGTTATGTCAGAGGTGCTGGGACTGCCCAGAGCAGAAGAGAAAGGGATGAACTCTACTTGGGATGGAGTTGAGAAAGCGCATGGGAAGGCTTCACAGAGAGAAAGTAGAGCTTTAGCTGGGCTGTGTTGACTGCATAGGGGCTTGCCAGCCATAAGAGAGATGGGAGGGGTTCCAGAAGAGAGAATAGCATGAATAAAAGCACAAGGTGTGAAGTCCTGGGGTATGTTTAGGGTACTTCAAATAATTTGGTGTTGCTAAGCATAGGGTGCAAATTGGATTGAGAGAGAGGGGGGGAGAGGAGGGGAGGGGAGGGGGAGGGCAGGGGAGAGGGAGGGGGAGAAGGACAGGGAGGAGGAGGGGGAGGGAGATGGATGAAGCTAGAGAGCAGGCAGGGTTGGATCTCATAGGATCTTGGTGGGTGTACAAACAAGGGTGACCCTCTTTGGGGCCACAGACACTTGAATGGGTCTTGTCCTCAGAAAAATTCACGGTGTTGTACCTGCACATTTTACAGAAATTTCGTAAGATTCATGGATGGCATGCAGTCCTGCCAGGGACCTCTCTGCCTACCAGAGGTCCTCAAACCCCAGCTTGTGTAGGTGGTGGAAGCCCCAGAGATTTTCATGCATGGCAGCGATGTGCCCAGATTTGTGTTCTAGAGAGGAGCATTTGTCAGCAGGTGCCCCCTTTCTGTCCTGGGCTGTTTCCCTGCACTGGCTTCAATCTCAGTCAGGTGCTGTCCTACCCACATAAGATGGCCCAGCAGCTCCAAGCTTAGCTCTTCTAGCTTGCAACCTCTGCAGAAAGAAAACATTTTTTTCCCCTGTAGTTTCAGAAGAAGTCTCAAGGCTGACTCTCATTGGTCATGACTGGGATCACATGCCAATGCTGGACCAACCACTGGGGATGGAGGAACAGAACATGCTGATTGGCTGGGCCTAGGTCATGTGATCTCCATGCCAGCCCGCCCAAGCCATAGGGACTAGGGTAGAGGAGTGGTGCTGTTTCCATAGGACCAGAAAGGTTGTTGGAGCCTAACACCTTGACTTGGGCAGCTGGATCTCCATGAGGGAGTCAGTGGGGAGCGAGTGACATACAGTTACTGAAGCTGAGGTAGTAGATGACATCACCCAGACTAGGGACAGCAGGTCAGTTTCATAGCTAGGGTAGGGGAGGCTGAGCCTATGGGGAGAGAGAAGGCATGGAAGGTGTGGATGGGTCAGCCCAGTGCAAGAGGGACAGAATGGAAGGGTGGGGAGACAGATGTGAAGGATGGTAGGTAAGGGTGGGGCAGGGATGGAAGTATAGTATGCTCTCCATTTTCTCTTTTGGTTGGGGACCCTAGGGTTTGCTGAAGGTTGGGTGGGCCCTGGAGTCTGTGAACTTTGCAGAGTGGCTGCTGCTGTTTTTGGGGGCTCCTTTGTCGAGGGTTCTCATCCTTCAAGAGAGGACAGGACTAGCTGGAGTTCCCACAGGCCAGCAGAGTAGGATTTGAACCCGGATCTTTCTAAGTCAGAGGTTGTGTGCTTTCCACAGGCTTTCTTTCCCCGCCTGCCATATTTCAGGACATGAAGCCCCTCCAGGATGTGACTAACTCATTCTACTCCCCTTCCCATGCCTACCTGAAGCTGCCCTCAGGTCACTCTGTCACCCTTGCTGGACTCCTATTTCCATCTTTATTTCTCCATTTTCTCCTCTTTTGGCTTCTGGCTTGGCTGGTTCATTGCAGCTATTTCTCAGGAGGTGAAGAGGCCTCTTCTCCTAACATCAGGCCAGACCTGAGTCCCTTGCTGGCCGTGGCTCTTCTGCAGGTGGTTCTGAGAGCTCTGCCTGGTTCCATCATGCAGTGGGTGGGTCATGGGGTTGTTCTGGCTGGTACTGGTGTGTCCTGGCATACTTGGAACCAGTGGCTGGCCTGGAGATGAAGGGCATCCAGGACACATTCATTAGGCACCTACTGTAGCCATGCTGGTGCTGGGCATAGCGAGATGAGCCAGCCTTGGTCCCAGGCCTTTGGGTACTTGAGGGTTGTGGAAAGAACGCTAGTAGCTTCTTGGGCCAGTAGCTTCAGTTCTATGAACCTACAGTTGCTTTTTGTATAAAATAGAGATAATATTACTGGCCTCCCAGAGTTGTCATGAAGACTGAAGGAGCTCATAATTGTGCATTAACCTGAATAGTCTTGCACATAACAGAAGCTCCATAAATTTCTGCTTATTCATCCACAATCTAGTGGAAGTGTGGCAGGGCCCAGAGCCATTTCCATGGCCTCTGGGTTGAGGGGCAGGTACCAAGAAGGTCTATCTGGTGGCCACTGAGTGGGCTGGGAGCGGTAAGGAGCTCCTGATCACACATCCCCACCCATTCCTCCCACTGCCCCTCCCTTCTTCTCTAACCCTGCTCTCCCTCTCTGGGGCCTCTGCTCCCTGTCTCACAATCTGTCTACCTTCCCCCACCCTAGGTATGCGGATCCTGGTGAACCTGCTTCTGGACACGCTGCCCATGCTGGGGAATGTCCTCCTGCTCTGTTTCTTTGTCTTTTTCATCTTTGGCATTATCGGCGTGCAGCTCTGGGCGGGCTTGCTGCGCAATCGCTGCTTCCTCGAGGAAAACTTCACCGTGTGAGTGCAGCCCCTGCCAGCTGGGTGGCTCCCAGCCCACTCTACCTGGGGCAGCATATGAGGGCTAGGAAGCGCTCCCCACTGAGCACCTGGTTCCAATCCTTATTCCAGTGGTGCAGAAAGAGAAGGGATATGCCCGGGTGCATTGGTGATGGGTCTCCCATGAACGACTGGACCGTAATATGAGCGCAAAAGGCCTGAGCTCTCAGAATTGGTATTACAAAGTCCATGAAGCTCCTTGATGCTAATTTAGCTCCTAGTGACTCTTACTTAGTACATAGTTTTAACTTCTTTGGTAATTAGGAATTGGGGCCGACAGAGTGGAAAAAGCAAACTAGAAGGAGGTCAGATAGGAAGGTAAAGGGCAGAAGTGATGCCCACAGGGAAAAAGAAGACAGAAAACCTCAAAAGTAGACATAGGACCTGGCACTCTAATTACAGCACAGCCATTCCTGTTAGTGACTGAGTCATCCAGGAAAGGTCCCCTTGCACTTGTGTCTAAAAACCCCCGGGGACAAGGCAGAGGGGGGCTGCTCCTCAGGGAGATGACTGTCCAGCTGTTTAAACAGAAGTCAGGCTTTGGCTCTCAGAGGGGTTGGGTTGAGTTGTCTGAGAAACTTGGTATCTATAGAATCAGTGTGAGGATAAGCAGCACCTCTGAGCGATGTACACACGCACATGCGTGTGGTGTGGATGTGCGCTCACTTTAACAGGCATAAGTGTGCCCCTGTCCCAGGGCCTGGTGAGGCAGCAGTAGGAGAGCATTTTCATTATCCTCTCGCTGGGCAAACGCCCCCAAGGGGCTGCTCTTGGCAAGCGCACGCTCAGCACACAGCAGAAGTTGGAGGTCCTGCCTCTGGGCTGTGCCTGGGCTGAGGGCTGGTCCAGGCGCCTCCCGTGGGGGACTCATGGACAGAGGCTTGGGGGCGCTGCACAGGGTGGGTTGAGCTCCCTCCCTCCCACCTGATTGTTTGCTGTGGGGATGAAGCTGAATGAGAGCTGGGGTGAAGGCTGGGAAACAGACTGGCTCACCTGCCCATTGCTGTGGGGGGACAGTGGGCACCTGAGTAGACCAGGGAAGGGGCACCCTCATGTGTAAGGGCCCTGCGGGTGGGAGGGGAGCCTACACTTGCGTCAGTCATTTGCAGAGGTGGGCCCTGGGGCAGCAGGATGGGGCACCTGCTTCTCCTGGTCTGGCCCTCAAACGATGGAGGTGTGAGCTCTCAGCTTTGGGGGCTCAGAACACATCCTGGTCCCTCTGTCCCTCATGGGTCTTTCCTTAGGCCATGCCATGACCACCCTGTTCTCATTATGCCAGCTCAGCCCCAATGTCACCTCCTCCTGGAGGCCTTCCCTGACCACATCCTCCCCCAGGCACTTGATTGCATTATCCTGTTTGATTTTCTTCTTCACCATCTCTGTCTGAAATTACCTCAGTTGTGAGTTTATTCACTTGGTTGTTGGGTATCTAGATCAGTTCATTTATTTGGTTAGCAGTTCCTAACCAGGATGAAATGTAGATGCTTAGCTTTTGATTCCTTGTGGAGACCAGGAAACTGGGGCCCAGAGAAGAGCGTCTTGGTCCAGGACAAGCTTGGCAAGGTAAGAACTAGAATTAGAACCCCGGATCTCCTGACTCTGGAGCGTGCTATGACCGCTCCCAGTGCGTGTGCTCAAAGCATCTCTCCAGGTGCCTCCGCCCCTGAGGAGACTCCAGATGGTTTGTTTGAGGATTCGATGAGCGCAGAATCAGGACAACGTCACTTAGCTATTTGGTGATGGGTCCGGGAATCTGAGCCCAGCTTTGGTGTTCTCTGCAAAGCATCTGGTGCCGTCTCTCAGGTTCTGCCTGGGCATTAACACGCACACATATGACTGTTTACCCCCAGGCAGGTTTTAAAAACACAAATTGCTTTGTCAATGTGTCTTGAGCATGTTTGCACACCATAATTTCTATTCCACAAATGTACCACGGTTCATCTAGCCAGTCCCTTGTGTGTTTTCCAAGTTTTTTGCTCTTACGTACAAGGCTGCAAGGCATACCGTGTGTGCATGTGATCTTGTATGTACTCACGGTCAGTGTATATGTCATACAGATCATAATTGCTAGTCAAAGTTGCATACATTTTTTAAATAGTTTTTTTTTGGTTAGGGTATAAGTTACATTCAGTGAAAAGCACAACTATTAAGTGTACAATCTGATGAGGTTTTACCTGGGTATAACCAGTGGAAGTCGACCCAGAGAAACTTAAAGTGCCCAGGCTTCCTCCCGCCCCTTCCCAGTTACTGTGTCCCTCACCCTCTGTCTTCCGACCTCTATCACCATAGACTTCTTTGGCCTGTTCTTGAGGTTTCTTTAAATGGAATCATGTAGGATGTTGCCTTTTGTGTCTGCTGCTTTGGCTCTGCACAAAGTGGCTGTGACATCCACCCATGTTTTTGTGTGTTAGTAGTTCCTTCTTGTTCACTGTGGTGAGGATTCCACTGAGTGAATATACCACCACTTATGTTTCCATCCTGCTGTATATTTGGGAGGTTTCTGGTTTTTTGGCTTTTAGGACTCATGGATATTCTTGTACTTGTCTTTGGATGGATAAAGCCATCCTTTCTTTTGGGTAAATATCCAGGAGTGGACTTGCTGGGTGTGCATATGTTTACTTTCAGTAGATTTTGCCAAATGGTTTTCCAAAATGGTTGCATTAAATGTCCACGAGCGAAATCTGAGAGTTCCAGTTGCCCCTTAGCAACATTCGGTATTGTCGGTCCTTTTCATTATAACTGTCCTAGTGGAGGGCAATGGTATCTTCTTGTGGTTTTTTCGTGTGTATTTCCTGATGACTAGTGATGATAAACACTTTTCCATGTGTTTACCATGCCATTTATGTTTCCTCTTGTGAAGCATCTCTTCTGGTCTTTTGCCATTTTCAAACTGTATTTTTTTTCTCATAAATTGGTAGTAGTTCTTTATCTTCTGGATTTAAGTCCTTTGGTGGATATATATATATATANCTGTTTTCACTCTCTAAATGGTGTCACTTGATGGACAAAAGATCTTAATTATAATGAAGTCCAGATTACCAGTCATGTTTTAGTATTGCTTTCTGGGTTCAGTGTAAGAAATCTTATCCTAACTCAAAGTCATGAAAATATTCTCCAGTGTTTTTTTTTTTCTAAGAAGCTTTCTTGTTTTATCTTTTACATTTAGATCTACATTCCATCTCAAATAATTTTTAGCATAGTATTTGGGATCAAGGTTCACTTGTTATATGGACATTCGGTTGATGTGGTTATATGGATATACCATTGATCAGGAAGTCCACATTTTCTCCACTGAACTGCAATGGTGCTTTTCTTATACTGAGGTGACCGTATGTATTTGGGTTGAATCTATACATGTAATTGTTGATGGATGTTGCCAAATCGCCCTCTAAAAATGTTTATTTGCATTCCCACCAACAGCGTATGCATGGGCTGTTTGCTCTCACCCTTTCTTACACTCGGTACCTCTACCCTGAAATAGTCGCCATTCGGATGGATGTAAAATGATCATATTGTTATTTTTGTTTACACTTTCTTGTTATTAGTGAGGTGAGCTTCTCTTCCTATGTATTGGCCTTTTTTATTTCTTCTGTAATTTTTTTCCTTGATTTTTTTGTTCTTTTTCCCCTAGTGGGTTATTTTTTATTATTAAATTATAGGAGATTTTAATATGCTCAAGGTTATTATATGCTCAAGGTTATTATATTAATATGCTCAAGTTATCTTTTATTTGCTTTATATGTTGCAAATACCCAGGGGACAACAAACTCTGGCCTCTTTGTGTAAATAAAATTTTATTGGAACACAGCCATACCCACTCTTTTACCTGTTCCCTGTGACTGTTTCATGTTACAATCGTGAACTGAGTAATTGGCACGGAGACCATATGGTCTGCAGAAAAATACTTCTCCTTGGCCCTTGATGCCACGGTTTGTCTGCCTGCTTTATCTCAGTCTGTTGCCTGCCTTTTTTACTTTGCTCTGTTTGGCTCATAGAAATTTTACATTTGTATATAGTCAATCTTCTTGACCTCTTCCTTTGTAGAATTTGGATTTCGTGTATCAAGTCCAAGAAGGCTTTACCTATCTTGAGTTAAAAAAAACATTTTCTTATAGTATTTTTGTGGTTATGTTGTATTTATACTTTTTAATCCACCAGAAGTATATTATTTTTAATTTGATCATCTCTTTTACTTAACCTAATGTATCCAAAGTATTATTTCGGTGTGTAATCAATATAAACAATTAATAATAAGAAATATTATCAGATATATAATGTATATCTGATATATATAATATCTTATTATCAGATATTATAGATTCATTATTATCAATATATTATCAATATAACAATATAACAATATAACAATTGATAATATGCATTCTTTATTTTTTCTTTTGATACCAAGTCTTCAAGAAGTTTATTTTTGTATATCGTGTGAGGTAGGGTACTAACTTTATTATTTTCCTAACAGATAGAAACTGTCTGGTTTTTCCATTCCGTGGATCTGAAATGTCATTTCTATAGTATAATAAATCTTTTTTATTTTTGCATATGGCCTTATCCCTGTGCTCTGCAGTATTCCACGAATCTTTCTGTTCCTGTTGCAATCCCATACTATGTTATTAATAGTTGTAGAGTATTTTGCTCCCTTGTAGGGCTGGACTCCACTCCTCTTTCTTCTTTTAAAAATTTGTCTTGCCTATTCTCTCATTCAGATAAATCCTAGAACCACCTGGTCAGGTTCCTTAGACAAACACTTTTGGGATTTTGTTTGGCTTGCAGGGAACCATACTTTCCCCTGCAGGATGAGCAATGCACAGATTATCATCTCTGTTTTACAGATGAGGAAATCAAGTCCAGAGAGAGCAAGAGACCAGCCCAAGGTCAAATAGATGGGAAGGGGTGGAGCAGGCAGCGGGTCAGCCCTTCATCCGTTGGATGAGTAAAATTCGGCATCTGTTTGTTGAGTACCTACTGTCTGGAGCTGACAGTGTGTGGGGCCTGGGGATGTTGAGATCCAGTCCTTGTCCCATGAGAGCTCTAGCATGTCAGGGGTGTTGGCTGCATATGCCCCAGGAGAAATAGCGCAGGTGTGTGTGGGGCGCATTCTGGCCATGGGGGCCTGGGACCAGCCCTGCTTGATCCTGGGGAGGCTCCTTTAGGACAGGCTCCCCAGATTGGGAGAATCTGGAACTGACCGTAGTGGGTCAGTGGGAAATTTTGTGACCATGGCAGAGGTGGGGAAGGGTGTCCTAGGTAGGGGAACAGCGTGTGCAAAGGCCTGGAGATAATGACAGGGCCCCATGGGCCAATACTGCCACACTGCATGGCCTCTCCCCTTCCTGCTCCTTCTAGTGGTGACCCCTCCCCTTCTCCTCTTTTACCCACTGTCACCTGTGGACAGACAAGGGGATGTGGCCCTGCCCCCTTACTACCAGCCGGAAGAGGATGACGAGATGCCCTTCATCTGCTCCCTCTCGGGGGACAATGGCATCATGGGCTGCCATGAGATTCCCCCGCTCAAGGAGCAGGGCCGTGAATGCTGTCTGTCCAAGGACGATGTCTATGACTTCGGGGCAGGGCGCCAGGACCTCAATACCAGCGGGCTCTGTGTCAACTGGAACCGTTACTACAACGTGTGCCGCACAGGCAGTGCCAACCCTCACAAGGGCGCCATCAACTTTGACAACATCGGCTATGCCTGGATCGTCATCTTCCAGGTGAGGGCACACGGGCCTGGCACCGGCCCCATGCTGGGACCCGGGGCGCTGGCCGTCGGGGGTGAGGGGTGGAGTGAGCAGCTTTGCCCGGTAGGCAGGGCTCTGAGCTAGGCCTTCCCCACTTTGTCTCACTGAAATCTGCCCAAGTTGCTGGCACCACAGGCATCACATGCCCACGTCACAGACAGAGCAGCTGAGGTTCACAGGAAAGAAACCATTTGACCAAGGATGGAGTGCTATTAAATGGAAGCCCCAGGATTTTAACTCAGGTCTGACTGCTCTTTGCAGAACCCCAGGTTGTCTGGGGGCAAGTGGGTCCCAGCAGGAAGGTTTGTTTGTAGAGAGGAGAGGCAGGGCTCAGGTCCTCCTGTTGGAGGCGCTAACCAGGCAAGGCCCACATGGGGGACACACGGGGAAGGATATTCCTGGTGGAGGTGACCACCTGAGCAACAACCTGGGTGGGTGCAGGGAAGCCTGGGGGAGTGCAGGGAGGGCTGAGTAGCTGTTTGTCTGACGTGCAGGGCAGGGTCTCTCAGACCTTTATGTTGAGAGCAAAAGTCAGTGAGAAATACATTTTACCTTGTGACCCGAGCATACATACATGCACACATTCACAAAGCAACACTGACTGACTATGTGAAAAGTGCTTTATCCCGTTGCATAGCTCCATGATACTCTGGAGGATGGGGGCAGGGAACGTTTAGGGAACTAGGGCTGTAGGACCTTCTGTGTACTATTGATGTCTCTGTGCCTCAGTTTTCTTATCTCTAAAATGGGGCAAGAACAGTCCCTCTCACCTTGAGTGGCTGAGAAGAATCAACCAGATGATGTAAGCCAAGCGGTCAGCCTGGTGTGCAGTGAGCGCTTGGTGCAGGTTACCTTCTGCTGTCCCCAGAAAGAAGAGCAGGGCAGGAGCAGAGGGTGGGGGCTGAGCAGCTGCCGAGGAGGCTGGGGAGCCTTGCTGTGGTGGCTGCTCTGCTCTGCGGAGCATCAGGATTACAGAAGTCAGAGCTGCAGAGTGGCATGTGACGTGGCCCCAGCCCGGCAGCTGCACTTTAGGACTCTGGCCCTGCGGGTGGGCGGGTCCCCAGTGGCTCCTGCTCTGAGCACCTGCCAGAAGCAGACAAGATGGTCGCGCTGGAGAGGGGCCAGGGTTCGTCTTTCCCGAGGGAGTGTGTGGGGGACAGAGCCGCAGCAGCCTCGTCACAGCCGCTCCCCCAGGCCCAGCTGAGCGGTACCCTAGCCCTGCCATGTGGGCTCTGCTGTCCTCAGGCACTGAAGAAGAAGCTGAGGGTCAGAGAGTAGCCCAGCTGGTGAGCTGGAGCCTGAGCCCAGGGCCCCTGGGGTGGGCTCTGGAGCCAGAGGGACCAGGTGTTAAGTCTTAGCTCCACCCCTTCCTGGCTCTGTGACACTGGGCGAATGCCCTAACCTCTCTGAACCTCAGTGCCCTCCCCTGTGTAACTGATGGGGACGGCTGCCCTGCCGAGCCCTTGTGAGAAGTATGAGAGACTGTGTGTGTGCGAGGTCCGGCATGCACGGTCGGGCCTCTGTTTGGGTGCAGCCTGTGTTGCCCACTGCCTGAGGGTCGACCGTGTCGGCTCTCCTGCTCTGTCCTGGCTGCAGGTGATCACGCTAGAAGGCTGGGTGGAGATCATGTACTACGTGATGGATGCGCACTCCTTCTACAACTTCATCTATTTTATCCTGCTTATCATAGTAAGTGTCAGGGACACTGGGGCTCACCCCAGGCGAACTCAGGACCCATGGATCAGAGGGTGGGGGAGTCTTTGGAGGCCCCCCAGGAGCCCCCAGAGCCAGGAGAGCTGGGTGGGAGAGAGCAGGAGGGGCGGGCTTTAAGTCAGCTGAGCAGCAGGTGGCTGAAGGGACCCATCGGAGGCTGCTGGGGGCGTCCATCACTTCCGACTGACTTCATCTCTCATTTCTGGGCATTCAAGTCCACCTCATTGCTCCTGCTCATGTGTCCCTGTAGTCCCCGGGAATACATTCTTTGCATGACCTTAGCTGGGTGCATCCCAGTTCAGAAGCTTCTCCAGGGCTCCTGCTTGCCCCTCCTCCTGGGGTGGGAAGACAGATGCTCTGGAGCTTCAGAGCTACTGCTTCTGCGGGGCCTGGAGAAGAGACCGACCCTGGATGGGACCTGGTGGGGCTGCCTGAAATTCTGAGGGAGTTCCACCTCTCAGGTAGCCCTGCCTTATAGGGGTGACTGGAGATGGAGGTGGGGCCCTATCTGCTCCAGTGCAGGGCCCCCTTCCTGGCTGCACCCCCTGCCTTCCCCAGACAGTCTCCCCAGTGCGAGCTCATCCACTTTGTCATGTCTGACTGCAGCTTTAGCCATAGCACGTTCCCCAAATGTCAAGGTGATTCAGTCCTGGGAGAATCACTGCTAGCTTCCTGCTGCGTGAGCCTGGGTACCCTGGCTTCCTGGTGGGGAGAGAGGGTGTGCTTGGACCACTGGGGCAGCACCCCATCCTGGGCTGGTGGGACCTTGACCTAGGGGTGACCTGAGACAGACCTGCTGCTGGCCTCCCTTGGACGCCTTCCTTGGGAGGCTGAGTGATGGACCCATAAGGAGGGACCCCAGATAGGAGGAGGGCCTAGGCTCTGTTAAGTATTGTCAATCATCCACTAGTTTGTTCGTTCCCGGCACTGCCAGGAAAGCCTGCGCTGCTCCAGGCCCTGAGTTGAGTGCCGGAACCCAGCAGGGAGGCAGGCCCAGCCCTGCCCTCGAGGAGCTCAAGTCTTGTGGGGGAGGGTGGGCTACAGCTGACCCAGCGCACACAGCACCTTAGGGGCCATGACAGAAGGAAGCCCAGGGGAGGCTAAACGGGGTCTCTGATCCAGCCTGGAGGAGGATGGGGGAGTGGGAGGCTCGGGGCAGTCAGGAAGGGCCTTCTGGGCAGGGGCCGCTCACAGAGACCCTGAAGGAGACAGCATTCGGCCATGGGGGCACCACAAAGCACTAGGCTTGTTAGAGCAGCCTTGAATTCCAAAAAGGGGCTGGAGAATGCCGTCTGCTGCTCCTGCCAGAGCTAGGGGTGGGCCTGGAGTCCGTAACTCCCTGCATGACCCCAGGCAGGCTGTAGTCCCCCAAGCTCATAGTTAAGCGGGAAACAGTGATGCACCTGGCTTGCTCCAGCTCTGGGCAGGATTGGGTGATACACAGCCTGAAGCCTGCTAGCCCTAGCACACAGTAGGTGCTCAATAAATGTGCCCTGCTGTGATTACTGCTGCAGTTGTTGGGTCCTGGCCCTGTCACAGGAGAAAGGGTCTAGAGAGCAGAGCTTGAACAACTATGCTGCTGTGTACCCTTGAAAGGTCACCTGCCCATTATGTTTCTCAGGTGAGGACCCCCAGCCCCAGAGGCAAAGCACCCTCAGCCCTCATATCCAGGTCCCCAGTGTGCCCTCTGATTGGAAAGCCCTGCACTCATCTTGCCTGAGGCTTGCATTTTACAGATAGGGACATGGAGGTCCAGAGGGGATGGAGGAGCAGCCTGGGTCACCCAGGGGCAGCAGGGCAGAGGCAGGCTGGGTAGAAGCCCAACAGGGGTGAGCTCCCAGGACAGGGTCCATGCCCTCTCCTCATGAGCCCTCACACAGGCCTGGTACAGAGCTGTTCCCCAGGAAATGCTTGTGGGGGACATGACCAAGAGAGTAATGAGGCAGGGCATGTTTTATCTGGGAATTTTCCCAGGGTTTTTTGGGTCAGGAAGTCCTCTGGCATCCCCAGAAGTCCAGGTCCCCAGTTGTGCTGTGGGAAAAAGAGGGAAGGCAGAATCTGTGTCTGGGGCTGTGGCCTGCGGGAGCCTCTGGTGGGCAGCCTGGAGGAGGCACCACATCTCTTTTCACTGGCAGGTCACTGAGTCCATTCATAGGCTTAGCAAATGCCAGGAGAGGGGCCTGCCCTGCACACCACGGTCATAAGCAGGCAGGGTACCTGGTACTAACTGGATAGCCTTTCCCCACACCTCCAAGCACATATGAAGCCACACAAGTAAACCCTTTCTGAGGGAAGCTTCTTGTATGGATGCCCGGCTGAGGCCAGAGGGAGGCAAGGATGGGGTGGGACTCGGGGCGTGAGTGGGGCTGGGCCTGCCCTCCTGGCCACAGCTGCCTCCTGCTGGGATGTCAGCGCTAAAGCCAGCGCCTAGGGGCGAGCTTGGAGCCGGTCCACTGGGGCCTGGGGAGCAGCCTGGGCACCACGTCCTGGGGCCCTGCCTCCCCGCGGAGCAAGACCTCAGCGATCTTTTCCTGTCCCTATCTGTGCCCGTGCCTCTCCTCTCTGGGCCTCCACCCTCCCTGCTTCCTCCCTGTGTGCATGTACTCCGGTCACTGCGTGTGTCTCCATTCTATGAGCCTGTCTCATTCTCTCCTGGTGTCTCTCTGTGTCTCTCTGCCCTGGCTGTCCACGGCCCTGCTGTCCTGTGTTACCTGCTCCTGCTCCTGTGCTCCTTTCCGCCTCTGTTTCCGTGTCTCTCTCTCCTTCTCCATCTCTCTGTCTCTCCCACCCTCTGTCTGCTCCATCCCGGTCCCTGTCCTCTCCTCCCGTTGGTCACAGGTGGGCTCCTTCTTCATGATCAACCTGTGCCTCGTTGTCATAGCGACCCAGTTTTCGGAGACCAAGCAGCGGGAGCACCGGCTGATGCTGGAGCAGAGGCAGCGCTACCTGTCCTCCAGCACGGTGGCCAGCTACGCGGAGCCCGGCGACTGCTACGAGGAGATCTTCCAGTACGTCTGCCACATCCTGCGCAAGGCCAAACGCCGCGCCCTGGGCCTCTACCAGGCCCTGCAGAGCCGGCGCCAGGCCCTAGGCCCCGGAGCACCTACCCCTGCCAGGCCTGGGCCCCTCGCCAAGGAGCCCAGGCACTACAGTAAGTGGCCCTGCCTCCCGTGGCCTCCAGGGTGCCCCACTCAGGCCTCCTGCCCCTCCAGCTAGGGACTCAGAAATAGCCCTGTTTGCACGTATGTCTCCCCCTGTTCCCAGTACCAGGGTGAGCATATATGAAGCCCTGTGGCCTCTTCCGCCTGGTGGCTCAGGCCCCTCCCCTCCCTTTAGTGCCACCTGCCAGTGCCTGGCTGGGGTTCAGCCCCGTCCTGGAGGAATTCCCTTCTGAGCTCGGCATGTGCATGTGGACTTGGGCTCAGCCTCTGGGATCCACACCTGAAAGAAGTGAGCAACCATCTACCCTCTGTCTTACAGAACTCTAAGACTCCCACCCACGTGGGGCCCAGCTGCCCCAGCATGCTTACTGGCACACCTGGGCAGTGATGCTCACCACCTGGAATGAAGGGGCCAGCCCACCCTGCAAAGGTGTGGCGTGCTGGGGACAGATGTGCCACTCTGTGACCTCTTGCCTTGGGCCCTTCCTCTCGCCCCTCGTCTCCATCTCCCCGAACTGAGAGTTAGTGCTTTAGGCTCTGAATCTGTTCTGGAAAACAGTTCTGAGAAACGGGCAGAGTGAGATTTCTCCCCATTTTCTAATGGGAAAACTAAGGTCCAGAGAGATGGCTAGGGTCACTTAAGGTCACACAGCCTGTCAGTAACAAAAGCCTCAGGGATGTCAAGGTTTGGGCTTTGCGGAGCCCGCCTCCAGGGGGAACTGGAAAGCTCTGCAGGAGGAGGCAGATGGGCCACAGGAGGTGGGCTCGCCCCCAGGCCCAGTCCTGCCGCAGGGTGGTGACAGGAGGGAAGTAGGCATCAGGACTGTATGTACCCCAGAGCAGGTGCACGGCCCCTGGCCTTGGATAGCCCCCAGCCCTCTGCGGGCCTGTCTCCTCCTCGGTGGAGCTGGGGATGAGGCTTCTGCACAGCGGGAGTCAGCCACCCCCAGGCCCTGTTCTTGGAGCTCTCACATTCTGGGATCTGAAATTCTTGGGAGGCAAGCTGGGAAATTGGTGCTCAGAGCTGCCGCCCACCTGTCCTCGGGCACCAGCCATCCAGGCATGGTCTAGAAGGAGGCTCCAGGTGGCCTGTGGGCTGGCCCGGCATGCGGACCAGGGAGCTGACGTCTGGGCAGGGCTGGCATCAGAGTTCCTGGATGACACAGGGAGGGGTGTTCACTGCCAGGGGCTTCCAGCTGCTGCACACCACCCTTTCCAGGGAACCTGCAGGGGAGTCCAGGGAGCCTCTGGGGGGAGGTCTTGCCCCTGCGCCTGGGCCTCGGTGCCTTCCCCCTTCCCCAGGTATCCAGTACACACAGGGTTGGGAAGGGCTTTGACTTGGCCTGTGCTGAGGCAGGCGACCCCTGAACTTGTGGCCGCCTCACCCTGGCTCTGGGGGATGAATGAGCCCTTGTCCAGGGTGTTGGGAGACAGCAGAGGCTAGTACAGACATGAAGGGCAGGCACTGCATGCTTTTCTTTCCCTTTAATGTTACATAAGCAAAACGTGTTTATTCTGGGAAAATACAGCAAACACCAAGAAACCAAGCCACAGGGAGAGAACACCTGGCCCCTCTTTGAAATGGTTCACAGATTCCAGACTCTGGTCCAGCCCGTGCCCAGGCTTCTCACCCTCTCCCTGGGGCAACCGAGGGTGGAAGCATCTGCCAGCCGGCTCCTGCCCCCGCGGGCCTCTCCAGGCCCCCTGGAGCCTGCCCTGACTCCCCGATGTGAGGGAGGAAGTCCAGGGAGGTCTGGAGCGAGGGCTTGCCCCCTGACCAGGCTCCTGCCTTCTTCCTTTCCGGAATGCGAGCGGAGCGGCACATGCAGGCAGGAGAGTCCAGCTTCCTGAGGCGCCCTGGCTTCCTGTGAGGGGGTCAGCCCTCCATGGGTGTCTGGCTCTTTTAGCAGTTCCACCTGAGCCGTTTTGCAAACTCCAGGGATGGTGGGAGGGCCTGGGGTCCTGGGAGGTTTTGTTCAGCAGCTAACCCAGGGCCATTGCCAGGAAGTGATGGAGAAAGGACCGTTCACAGGTGTGCGGGCCTGAGGCCCTGTGTGAGCCGCGAGAGTCCTCCCCACACCCCTGCCACTGGCCTCTAGGCCTCAAGTTTACACAGGGCCAAACAGCCCCAAGTGGCGGAGCCATTTCCTCAGGAACCACAGGCCCTGTGGCTTCTGCGTGGGGAGTCTGTGGGTCCCAGGAGCCCGAAACACACACGGGGTTGGGACAGAGTTGGACAGGGTTAGGCCAGGGGCTGGTGCGGGCAGGTGCTGCCCCCTCTGAGACCCTCGAGCTTGCCCTGAGGCATGGATCCACCTTCTGTTTGCTTTTCAGAGCTGTGCCCACAACACAGCCCCCTGGACCCTACGCCCCATGCTCTGGTGCAGCCCATCTCTGCCATGCTGGTCTCTGACCCCTCTGCCTGTCCCCACTGCCAGCATGAGGCGGGCCAGCAGTCCTCAGGCCTGGGCAGCGCCGACTTGGGCCGGGAGGGCTCAGGGCCCGGAGGCTCAGGCAGAGGCTCGGAGGAGGCTGACGGGGACAGGGCCCAGAGCAGCGAGACCGGGGCCGCCTCGGGGCCGCAGAAGGAGGGAGAGGAGGTGCGGGCGGATGGGGCCGCCGGGCTGCGCAGGGGCGTGTGGCGGGAGACGCGAGCCAGGCTGCGCGGTGTCGTGGACAGCAAGTACTTCAGCCGCGGGATCATGGTGGCCATCCTGGTCAACACCGTCAGCATGGGCATCGAGCACCACGAGCAGGCCAGTGGCGGCGGCGCGTGCGCGGGGTGGGGCTCCTGAGCACGGGGTGGGGGGCTGCCTCGGCCCGAGCTGGAGCCCCTCCAGCCGGGGTGTGCTGCACACTCCCCGTGTCACCGGCTCCTGCCTGGGGGGGCTGTGTCCCGTTCATCCATGTGGCCTTTGCACCCATCCTGAGGAAGAGCTCAGGGTGTCTGCCAAATGGGCAAGCAGGTGCGCTGGTGGGTGGCTGGGGCCGAGGATGGGGGATCCACTTCCTTGTTTCCTGAGCAGTTCAGCCCAGACACCAATGCACCCACCCCCCTCCCTGCCAGTCCCTGCCAAGTCTAACCTCCATTTGTCACCTCTGCATGAGCCCCCCTGTCCATTCTCCCCAAACGGCTGGAGTGCTCTTTCCTGAGGTTAGGCTCTCCCCCGCCCGCAGCTCCCACAGCTCCCATCGCCCTTGGCACAAAACACAAACCTTCCCACTGACATTCCAGGCTCCTCGTGCTCTGCCCACTGTGTGCTGTAGGCAGGTGGGCATCCTCCTGTCCTTGATCCCCGCTTACTCCACCCTCCTCACAGCCCCACGGCACTGAAGGTGGCCCCGAGGTTGCCCTGCACAGGCGGTTCCATGTCCCTTCTCAGCCAACCCTGAGGTTTCTTCTGTCCTCAGCTCTGGGTGTGTGGGGTGCAGGGGGTGTTGGCTGAGTTAGATGGTGTGTCCCAGGCCCCTCGGGCCATCGAGGGTACTGCTGGGGGTTCAGAGGTGAGAGGAGGTCAGAGAAAGAGTCCCCAAGGAGGGGGATGCGTGGAGGAGGGGACAGCTTCCGGGAGGGGGCAGGGAGGGGGTACGGGCCATGGCGAGCACGCACACAGGAGGAGAGGGGGCTATTTGTGGGGACACAGGATGGAGGGCCAGGTGGGTTAGGGAAGATGTCTCAGTCCATAGGTCATGCCAGGTGACGGCCTGGACGGCAAGTCCAGCCCTGACTCCATTTGGAAAAATCACTCTTTTCTGGCTCCCGCTGTCCTCCAGGCTTTAGGCAGGTTCTGCCCTTTACTTCCACCCCTGCCCTGTGAGGGCACCCCATTTGACAGCTGGCAACCCTGAGGCCCAGGGGGATGTCACTGGCCCAAGGTCCCACAGACAGGGGCCAGATTGGAACCCACACCTTTCTGTGCCAAGACTGACCCTCCTGCAGAAATCAGATCGCCACGCCCCCTGTGCTTTCCTGCCTCCTCCTTCTGCAGAGGTCCTGTCCCAGCGCTGTGCCCTGCCGTGGGCCCTACTCATTTCCCTCTTCTTTAGTTTGCCAAGCGCAGGCTTCATTCAATTTACTTAAATATGGCCCCTGAGGCTGCCGTGGCACTCTGGAGCTGCAGGTTTGCCAGCCGTTCCAGCTTAATTAAAAATGTCCCTGGGGAGGACAGGGGGGAAGGCTTTCTGCAGGGTAAAGCTGATGAGACAGGCAGCCCGGAGCCCCCGCACCTAGAGTCCAGCCTCCTAGTCTCCGCCTGGCCCAGGCCTACCAGGAACAGAGGGGTGACTGGGCCAGCTCTCCTGGGGAAGGCCTCCTGGGGAGCAGGTGTTGCTGGGATGCTGGCTCTGGTTTCTGAGTGGGGGCCTGTAGCACCAAGGAGTCCTGTCACAGTCCTGCTATATCAGAGCCTGGGCACAGCTTGCAAGAGTCAATTTTCTAGCACTCAGGAATTTTGCAAGCCTGTTTTTAAACAGTTGGTAGCTTGAAATTGGCCACGGTGGGAGTATTTACACCATGGGAATTGGCATACACTATAAATCAGGGCTGTTTTTCAGAGGCTATTTTAATCCAGGGGTCTACTGGTTTCTGCCTTAGCTGTCCCCCTCAGGGCAACTGCAGCCAGGGAAGCCTCTCCTTTTACCCCTTTTACATAGTGGAGCCTCTTTTCTTGGGGCTGCAGGCACTCCTCAAGCCCCCATGGGGCTTGGAGAAGCAGGTGCCCAGCTTGTTTCCCTCAGAGGGATTGATCCCCTTTTGCTGAGGGCCTACTAGTTGCCAGGCCCCCAGCCTACATGTGCATCGACCTCACAGCCACCCTTACCCCTCCCCACACATTGAAGGGTGCTGTCCAGAGAGGGGAAATCCACCGTTCAAGATCTGGGTTCCACCCCTGGTTCTACTGTTGACTGGCAGCATGGCCTTGGGCAAGTCACCCGGCCTCCCAACGGTGAAGAGTAGCTGGGGGTGGTCAACCCATGGAGGAGCCTGGTGCTCACTAATTTGGAATTATTTATGAATCTTTTGTTTGATTCACCCTTGGGGTGAGTTTACCAACTGCTGTCTGGAGCCTCAAAAAATGAATTAATTACAGAAAAAGTGAGGGGGAGGGAGAATCTTTAAAATGTTATTTTTAAAGCAGCTCCGTGTGGCAGCCATTGTTCGACCCAGCTCTGTGCAGGGCCTGCTGGGGAACCACTGGTGTTTTTGTCCCACTCCCCTCCTCTCCTAGACATTGCTTGGTGGGAAACGATCCGCCCTCCTGTTTATTTTGAGCAGCCCTGTCTGAGGTGGTGCCTGCAGAGAGAGGCAGCCCAGGGTGACCAGGAGGCAGGGAGAGAAGGCGAGGAGCAGGAGAGGAGGAGGTGAGCCATCAGGCACAGCCCCTCTCCTGCAGGGATGGTGACTGCAGAGCGGAGGCATCGTGGGGGTCCCGCCTTGCCGTGCCCCGGCTGCCCACCCTGCTGACAGGGAGCTTGGTGTGGCCATGTGGGTGGCAGGTGAGATCCGGGCAGAGTCTGGACATCGCTTTCCTATGCCATCTGGCCATCCCTCCCTCCCTCCCTGGTCACCAGTCCTCAAATGAGAAGTTAGATTGCAAGTGCTAGTGGCCTTTAGGTGGTCACTACTGCCAGAATCATGAGGGAGTGCCACCAGATTCCTTGTGGCAGAAGATGCTGTTCCTTGCAGGGACTGGCCTGGGAGGAGGTGACAGGTGAAGGGGGATGGCCAGCCAGAGGGAGTGCTTGTGACCCTTGATACTGTCAGAGGGTGCTCAAGTCTGTGCCCCTGGATATCCCAGGGAGGAGGGTGGGCCCAGAATAGTCTGTGACTGAGGCTGAGTGACAAACCGGTGGTTGGGGGCAGCTTGGGTGGCCAGATTCCTCCAACATCATCTGCTGTCACATGTGTGACATCACATCTCTTTCCTGTGTGAGATTCACAGCAGCCCTATGGGGCAGGCAGGGTGTCTTACCCCCACTGGGCAGATGGAGGAACTGAGGCTCAGAGAGGTGTAATGACTTGCCCCATGTGACATGGTGCACAAGAGTTGGGCTCTGGGATGCTAAGGTTGAATCGGAGGGTCCATGAAGCTGACAGGACAGTGCGGGGAGGCCTGGGTGGGGAGACGTGGCTCCTTGGGAGCAGTCTCTGTCTCCTCTCTCCTCTGCTCCGTATCCTGGCACTCATGCCCCCAGGTGCAGGACTTCCCAAGCCGGGCAAGGCTGCCTTCAGCCTCATCTTGCCCTGGAATTAAAAGATGCTCACCAAGGTGGACAATAAAAAGCATAGTGTTGGGCTGAATGGGCAGGGGTGCAGGGGCCTCCTGGGGCAGCCTCGCTCAGGTTGGGGCATGTCCATGGGCCCTAGCTCCCAAGGGGCTGCATTCAAGGCCTCCTGGCCAGGGGAGGGGTCAAAGCAGTCCTTGTTCTCCCTTTAGCCATCCCTAAGTCATTGCTGACCCGGGTCTGAGGTGACTCTGGGAAGAAGAGGATGGATGGCTCAGTGTCCAACATTCCAGCCCTGAGGGGGCTCAGGGTAGAGAGATACCAACAGGGGCTGCAGTCAGAGAAGGCTTCCTAGAGGCAGTGCCGCTGGAGATGGATCCTGGTGGATGACTAGGAGTTCATCAATGAGGCAAAGGAAGGGACGGTGCTTAACACTGCCTGGCACTTGGGAGGTGCTTTTAACTCCAGCTGCCTCTGTTGTCATGGGGGTGGTGCTGGGTTCCAGGGCTTTCTGGGGGCTGCCAGGAGCCTCTGAGCCTGGCATCAGGCAGGAATAAGCTGCCCTCTGCCCCTGTCCTTCTGCTTCTGGCCTTACCTCTAGGTTGCAGCGTCTGTTCATCTGCCCTCTACCCTCCAGCCTCTGGCTCATCCTGATTGCCCTGCCCTTTGGCTCTGCCTCTTCCAGTGCGTGGGTCTGTCTGTGCTGCCTCTCTGCGGCCTCTGTCTGTCTGCTGGCTCCCTCCCACTTTTCTGGCTCTGTGTCTGACTCCCGCAGTGTCACCATCTTTGTCCTTCATTGTCGTTTCCATCTGTGTTTTTCTCTGTCTCGGCTCTCCACACCCTGCCCTTGCCTCTCACTTCCCGTGTCTGTGTCTGTCTGTCTGTCTGTCTGTCTCTCTGCTGTCCCTGTCCTTCTCCACATACACTCCCACTTCGGCGTCTCACTCGCTGTGTCTATATTCGTCTCTCTCGCTTCTGCTTGCTGTCTCTCTCCCAGAAAAATGCTGCAGAAGTGATGGATGGTCCGTTAGGAAAAGATGAACAGGTGTGCACTTGAGGAGAGAAACAGCTGCTGCGAGGGCGAAGGGAAGCATGCGAGTGACCTTTCGGGGAGAGCGCCGGCTTGGCACCACTTGTGGGTGGGAGTGTGTGTGCAGCGTGTGGGGCCCGGTGCGGGCTGATCACCATTGCGGACTGTCAGTGTGCACATTTTTCATCTCTGTGGACGTCGTTTTGGCATCTTGGAGCTTAGTGGCTCCGAGCGGCATCTGGGCCCTGGCTCTCCCCACCTAGGGGCCCCTTTCAGAGTCCCACTCCCCTTTTGAGACCATTTTGTAAGTCAAATGTAATTACAGATGGAAATGGGGTTTTCTGCTTTTATCTGGGCTTGAGAGAAGCTGACAGTTTTATTAGGCTTCCCAGGCGCCAGGTGGGAAGCTGGCGATTGCTTGTTCTGTTTTTCTCTTATCCTTTTAACACAAATGGAATCAAAGTCAGGCCCCTGACACTCCCTGTCAGCCCTGGAGGGGCTGGGCTGGGGTGGGTGGTGCTGGTGAATGGCTGCCGTCTCACCTCCCTGCCCCTGTCCTGGCGGGTCCCTGTACCGGGACACCTTCTCTCCTCCCTGTCATCTGGCTCCCCCTCTCAGCTCCAGGTCTCTGCTGAGATGCCACTTCCTCCAGGAACTGCTCCCAACTCCACTGCCACCATTTCCCCAACTTTCCTGTTTTTAGCACCTACGGACTGGTTTGTTAGCTGGCATATTGGGCTTTGGCACCAAAGCTGGTGTTTCTTGGGGGCAGGGAGGGCATCTGATTCATTTGCTGCTGGCCATGCTGGGGAACCCAAGCCCAGCACCCAGTGGACGCTCAGTGGATGCTCAGCAGACCTGTGGGGTGCAGGCAGTGGTGGAGGAGTAAGGGGGTGCACCACGAGTTCAGATGTATGTCATGGGAGAGCACGTTGGAGTCCGATTTGGTGGCTCTGAGCAAGCCCATCTCTGAGCCTCCATTTCTTCATCTGTAAACTGGAGACCCCAGGAGTGGCCTCTTGGGTTGTCTGAGGCATCAGTGACTGTGTTGGTATCAAGCTCAGCATGGGCCTAACACATGGCCCTTCTCTGTGCTTCAGACAGGAGCGACCTGGCTTGGGGTGAGCAGAAACCAGACACCTGACCTGTCTCAGAGGGGTCAGTGAGGGCAGAGCAGGGCCGGAGCCTCTGGCCCTCAGCAGGGAGGTTAGGAATGGGCATCATCTCGTTCCACCCCCTCGTTTTATGGATGATGAAACTGAGGCAGGGGTTGCGAAGGACCTGGAGCCCTGCCCCCTGTCATGACCCATGGTGTGGCCTGTTTCATACACAGGTTGCTCAGATGGCCCCATTTGAGGGGTGTCAGGTGCTGCTAAAAATAGGAGGTAAATAGCTCCTGAGGCAGAGGGTGGCTCTGAGGTCAGGGGGCTAGTGTGCTCCTGACCAGCTGGTGACTAACTCTTAACTTCCCCAGTGTCCTCCCCTGAGAAGCAGGTGAAGTGGGCCCCACAGACCAGGTGCTCAGAAGATTAAAGAGCCACTGTGGCACCCAGTAGGTGCCTGGTCTCTGTCCCCCCTCCACAGGGCATGGTGGTCTCCAGCCACCTGCAGCCCTGAGACCACCGCTGCTGGGCAAGGAGAGAGGGGAGGGCTAGCGGGGGAGGTCTGCACAGGCAGGAGATAAGTGTGGGAGTCTGGAAGCCAGGCTGCCTGGGTTTGAATCCTGGCTCTGCCCCTTACTAGCATCACAGCCTCAGGCAGGGGACTGGCCTTCTTGAAACCTACTTCCTCATCTGCAAATGGGCTTTTGTGAGGGAGGGAGGACATGATGCCTGTAAGGCACAAAGAGCAGGCCTGCACCAGGTAAATGCTCACTAGATGGGATAGGGTCACAGGCAAACAGCGAGTTTCTGGCAACCTCTGGCCTGTCTTCCTGTCTTGCTCTGCATCTAGTCATGTGTCCTCAGGCTGCTTCTGAGCCTCAGTTTCCTCATCTTGTACCAGCATCATTTCCAACATGTGGAAGGTCGGCCCTATGGGGTCCTGCTGCCTCAGTGGACTGCTCAGCAGGGCAGAGATGCAGCATGCTTGCAGGGTTCTCCAGCCCACCATGCTGGGGGAGGTCTAGGCTCCAGTGCGGGCATTGACCTGCCAGGTTGCGCAGCTATGGTGGCAGAGCCAGCCTTCCCTGCCTCCTTGGGGAGTCCTGGAGCTGGTGGGCATCCGAGGGGATCTGTGGCTGCCCTGTGACCTGACTGGGTCCCTGGGCCCTGCTGCAACACCCTGCAGCCCGAGGAGCTGACCAACATCCTGGAGATCTGCAACGTGGTCTTCACCAGCATGTTCGCCCTGGAGATGCTGCTGAAGCTGGCTGCCTTTGGGCTCTTCGACTACCTGCGCAACCCCTACAACATCTTTGACAGCATCATCGTCATCATCAGGTGCCACCCCAGTGGGCCCAGCAGAGTGCGGGGAAAAGGGGACAACACACTGACCCCTGCCAGTAAATAAAGCAGTAAGATCACAAAGGAGACCAATTACACTGAAACACTGTTACCAAACTATTTTAAAATTTGAGACGTAGCAATATACGTGCTTCTGTATTAATGCATTAAAGTGCCAGATGTAGCAGTGGGTCTGTGGCTGCCATCATTCTAAAGAAGGGACGAGCACAAATAATACACAGAAATATTTGTATCAACTGTCACATGGTATAAAAATATCAGTGACTTCGATTGGCTGCAGTCATAGGAACTGCTAAATCTCTGTGGTTTATTGTTTATATTCATAATCAAAAGAATGTTCAATTCAAAAAGAGGTTGGTGACCTTCATGGACCTCCTGAATGCTAGCCATAGGCTTTTGGGGGGGGGATGTTCCTGGGCTCCGGGTCAAGAGCCCCTAGTCTCAAGCACTTCATGGAGCAGCAGAGACCAGTGAGACATTATTGGCTGGATGAACGAATGAATGAATGAATGGAAGCTCTCTGTCTCTGTGTCCTGCCCGACCTCTCCTTCCTCTGCCTTCCTCTCGACTTCGCGTCCCGCCGACCCTTCCCGCTTCTCTCCTCTCCCCGCCTGGCCTGCACCCCCTGGCCTCAGCATCTGGGAGATTGTGGGGCAGGCGGACGGAGGCCTGTCCGTGCTGCGGACCTTCCGGCTGCTGCGAGTGCTGAAGCTCGTGCGCTTCATGCCCGCGCTGCGGCGCCAGCTCGTGGTGCTCATGAAGACCATGGACAACGTGGCCACCTTCTGCATGCTGCTCATGCTCTTCATCTTCATCTTCAGGTGAGCCCTGACCACTCTGGGTTCCACACCGGCGGGACCTGCTAGGGCAGGAGCCTGGGGGCGCGCGGCCGGTTGAGCTTCCCCAGGCAGCACCCTGGGCCTGGGGGTGAATCCTGCACCATCACTCAGGCCCCTCCTGCCCTGGCGAGCCGGTATTCACGTCTACAACATGGGACCCTTGCTGCCTCCTCCCATCTTTGTTCTGAGAATGAAACAAGGTGGGGAGCTTGGTGTGTGAGTCCCTTGCGCCAACTCCATCCTTTCCAGCATCCTTGGGATGCACATCTTTGGCTGCAAATTCAGCCTCCGCACGGACACGGGAGACACGGTCCCTGACAGGAAGAACTTTGACTCCCTGCTGTGGGCCATCGTCACAGTGTTCCAGGTGAGCGGCAGCATGTGTCTGAGGCCTGCCACTTGCATGGCTTTTCAGCGGGCCCCCCTGGAGTATCCAGAGAAGAGGGGCAGGAGGACCCCCAACTTTGGCCTTCAGTGGGCAGATGGGGATATGGGGCAGCACTGGCTCTGGGAGCTGGACTGACTGCCCAGGACCCATCCCTGCCCTTCCACTCCCGCCCCGAGACTCGAGCATGCTAGGATCCCTCTTTGAGACCATTTCCTCACATGGAACCCAGGCAGGGCAGTAGGAGGAAGGGGGGCTCATGCAGGGGTGGGAGTGTGTGCAGGATAGTGTGCTAAGGGGGTGGGGTTGTGGAAGCAGCCAGGGGGGAGCACAGGTCAGTGAGGAGTGGGTGTCAGGGTGTGAGTATGTGACCGGCCTGAGGGTTGGGCAAGCTGGGGGCATGGGCAGAGTGGTGTGTGTGTGTGAATGAGGGACAGAGCTGTGCCAGGTGGGCACACCCCTAGCTAGGGCCATGATAGGTGAGTCCCCGGGCATGCCCAAGCATGTGAGGATGCTGTAAGGTGCGTGGGCTGCAGTGTGCCTGCAGCTGTGCCACCCTGTGGACTCTCTCTGCCCTTGGGCTGGTCTGGGGCCTGGGGGAACCACAGGGTTGAGTTGTGGCACCCCTCCCCTCACAGATCCTCACACAGGAGGACTGGAACGTCGTCCTCTATAATGGCATGGCCTCCACCTCCCCCTGGGCCTCCCTCTACTTTGTCGCTCTCATGACCTTTGGCAACTACGTGCTCTTCAACCTGCTGGTGGCCATCCTGGTGGAGGGCTTCCAGGCAGAGGTGACTGCAGCCCTGTGCGAGGAAGAACCTCCATGGGGCCTGCATGAGACTGGGCCAGGGAGGGTCTGGATAGGGTAGGCCTGCAATTTCAACATCTAGCAGGCAACAGGTCCCAAAGGAGGGGTTTGTCAAAGAGGTGGTGAGCTTCCCATCATAGGAAGCGTGCAAATGGAGGCTGCATCTCTCCCCTAGAAGTGTAGTCTAGAATCTGAGGTGCTAAAGTCCCCAAGATCTTGGATTCTGGATTCTGCCTGATCCATTCTGTGAGGCTTAGGGGATATCTGAAGTCAGGCAGATGTGGGTTTGTGGTCTAGTCCTCATTAGCTTCTCATTTTCCTTTTCTGAGCCTCAGTTTCCCTATTTGTAAAATGGGGGGTGAAACATCCCTTGCAAAATTCAGGAGGGACGTGCTGAGATGACCTGCATTCCAATGTGAGGGTTGGTCTCTCAGGGCGACGCCAATCGCTCCTACTCGGACGAGGACCAGAGCTCATCTAACATGGAGGAGTTTGACAAACCCCAGGAGGGCCTGGACAGCGGTGGAGGTAAACAGGCCTCCACTGTCACCCTTCCCCTGAGATCAAGGAGGGCAGAGCGCACAACAACTGGCTTCTTCTCAAGCCCAGGCTCCAGGACTGCTAATTCTCTGTAGTTTATTGTTTCCATTTATAACTGAGGAAAATGTTAAATCCCCAAAAGAGGTCAGTGACATTCATGGCCCTCCTGGATTCTAGCTGCAGCTCCTCTCACCCCTCCGCAGTCCTGTTGGGAAGAGCCTCAGGCCTCCAGTCGCCCAGGTTCTGGTCCCACTTGGCATCCTGGGCAGCTCGCAACAAGCCTTCCCAGCCCACACCCAGTGCCCCTCTCGGTGACTGAACTGGACTGTCTCTGCCTTGCTTCCTGCAGTGGGCATGGAAGTGAGGGTGCCATGCTGGGGTGTGCTCAAGGCTGGCCCTAAACACAGAAGGCAGGAGATCCACTCATCCAAAAATAAAGGCAGAGGGGAGGCATGCACGATGGGCTCCAGCTGGGGGGGCTCCCAGGGGCAGAGGTCTCCCCGGAACTCTCCACTTCCGGTGACCACCACGCCTGTCTTTCTTTGTCTCATGGCTGCTTTTGTTCCTGTCTCCTTTTGTCTGCCTGTCTGTCCCTCCAGATCCCAAGCTCTGCCCGATCCTCATGACCCCCAATGGGCACCTGGACCCCAATCTCCCACTGGATGGGCGTCTGGGTCCCACTGGGGCTGCAGCGCCCGCCCCGCGCCTCTCGCTGCAGCCGGACCCTGTGCTCATGGCCCTCGGCTCCCGCAAGAGCAGTGTCATGTCGCTGGGGAGGGTGAGCTATGACCAGCGCTCCCTGGTGAGCTCCTCTGGGTGCTCTGGGTGCGTGCTCCCTGCTGGGTGTGTGCTGAGAGGCCCTGGGAGAAGCATCTGGCAGTCCAGCTTCAGACTGGTGCCAAGGCTTCGGGCCGCAGACGCTCTAGCCGCGTCAGGCTAAGGCCATGTCTTAGTTGTGTTCCTGGGTGCCCAGTGCCAGAGGAACATGGCAGGGAGGGGTAAATGATGGTGCCAATGGCTCTGGTGTGGAGAATTGGGTTATCACCTTAGCAGCACCGTGTAGGGGAAAGCTGGGCTTTGGGGTCCGGTAGATCTGAGCTCAAATGTGGCCTCTGCCACTTCCAAGCTACATGATCACAAGCAAGTTCCAGCCTTCTCTGGGCCTGTTTCTTTACTTGTAAAATGGGAAGACCACCCTACATTGATTACATTCCTCAAGGGAAGTGGGGTGGCAGGAAGGGATGTAACTACACCCTGGACGTGCCCACATGTCCATGGATCGGATGGCGTGAGAAGCCGGGAAGGGAGAGGACTGTGGCCCGCTTTGGGCCTCAGGGGACGTGCAGGCTGTCTCCAGTCACAACCACCGTGTGTGTGGCGGGCGCTGACCAGAGCCCCGGGCTCTCTCCCAGTCCAGCTCCAGGAGCTCCTACTACGGGCCATGGGGCCGCAGCGGGGCCTGGGCCGGCCGCCGCTCCAGCTGGAACAGCCTCAAGCACAAGCCGCTGTCCGCCGAGCACGAGTCCCTGCTCTCGGCGGAGCGCGGCGGCGGCGGCGGCGGCGCCCCGGCCTGCGAGGGCGCCCAGGACGAGGGTCCCCCACGGTCCGTGCCCCTGCACGCCCCGCACGCTCACCACGTGCATCGTGGTCCCCACCCGCCGCACCGCCACCGCCACCACCGCCGGACACTGTCCCTCGACACCAGAGACTCGGTGGACCTGGCCGAGCTGATGCCCACCGTGGGCGCCCACCCCCGTGTGGCCTGGAGGGCGGCGGGTCCAGCGCCCGGGCACGAGGACTGCAATGGCAGGATGCCCAGCATCGCCAAGGACGTCTTCACCAAGATGGACGACCGCCGGTCTCATGGAGAGGACGAAGATGAGATGGACTATGTGAGCGGGGCCGGGGTAGACGCAGGGCCAGAGGGGCGGAGGGGACGGGGCTCCAGGTGGGTGAGCAGGGGGCGGGCCCAGAACTGCCACCTGAGGTGGTCTGCCCCAGGGAGAAGCCCTCCTTCCCTCCCTGGGTCTGGTGGGAGTCCTGGTCTTGCTGGGAGAGTTCGGAGGTCCTCCAGTGGCCCCAGTTTGCTGGCTGGCTGAAGTGGGCGAGATGGGCAGCTCTGCACAGTGCTGACTGGCCGCACGCTGTCCCCCTTCCCAGACTCTGTGCTTCCGCGTCCGCAAGATGATCGACGTCTACAAGCCTGACTGGTGCGAGGTCCGCCAGGACTGGTCTGTCTATCTCTTCTCTCCCGAGAACAGGTGGGCACAGCCAGGCTTGGGGTGGGGTTAAAGTTAACGTGTCCAGGAGGGAGAGATTTCTACTAAGCCAGGCAAGGCTGTTGGTGGGGTGTCTCCCACAGCCCGAGGACGCTCCAGACCCAGGGGAGGAGGCGGGTCGAGGTCCGTGTAGGACGGTGTCCCTGGGGATCCTCTAGTCTAGACCATCCCTGTGCTGGGCACCAGGTTGGACACATCCTTAAGCAGCCTGGGGGGCTCATATCTGGAGGGGGACATCAGAAGGCTACCGGGAGGAGGTGGCCTTTGTTCTGGGCTCTGTAGGCAGGTGGCATTCTGTAGGTGAAGCCAGGGGTTGCGGAGACATGGAGGCTGGTCCAGGTGGAGGGAGCAACCTGAGGGAGAGAAGCTGAGGGTAACAGGCAATGTGTGTCCAAGTGCCTGGAGGACAGGGCACAGGGATTTGGGCGAGTGTTTGGAAAGCTTTGAGTGCCAGGGCAAGGAGGATGCCTTTCATCCTGTGGTGCCAGGAGCTGCTGTGTGGTCAGGGGAGGCAGCTCCAGGTGGGCACGCTGAGCACATATAAAGCTGCTACCTGTTTTGTCGCCAAAGAAGAGAAGAGTCAGCTTCCTCTAAGCCATCCTGGTACCCAGAGTGCCTGGCCCTCTACCTTTCTCCTGGCTGGCGTAAGGGGCAAACTGGCACTCACGTGGTCCCCCTTCCCATCCCTCCTCAGGTTCCGAGTCCTGTGTCAGACCATTATCGCCCACAAGCTCTTCGACTATGTCGTCCTGGCCTTCATCTTCCTCAATTGCATCACCATTGCCTTGGAGAGGCCCCAGATCGAGGCTGGCAGCACCGTGAGTGGCTGCAGCCTTGGGGCAGGCCACTGGGCCCTGCGATGGGACATGGTGCAGGGCTGCGGGGGCTGGGAGAGCTCAGCAGGGCCCAACACTGAGTCGGAGCACTGTGGGGGGAGGAGAGGGCGGGAGCTTGCCTGTGGGGCTACCACCTCCTCATCAAGTGGCAGCAGGGTGCCCCTTGGCCAGGGCACGAGGCTGCCTGGGTGTCTGCAGCTCCGGGAGCCCCTGGGCCCACTGTCTCCTGGCTCTTTCAGGAACGCATCTTCCTCACCGTGTCCAACTACATCTTTACAGCCATCTTTGTGGGCGAGATGACACTGAAGGTAGCTCTGGGCTCCACCCGGGGCTCCTCTTACCCTGCAGCTTGGGGCCCCTCACCCTGGCCCGGCCCCTCCCTCAGCTGGTCACTCACCTGCCTATCAGCAACATTCTGCAGGGGCCCTGGGGGCCACCCCTGCTCAGTGCCAGCCCCTGGGTTGGGTCCCTGGGACCCAGAGGGAGTCAGCCACGTTCCTGCTGTCCAGGAGCTCATGGCCTACCAGAGAGGAGAATGTATGGGGGTACCTGCTGGAGGTGTGGGGTCGGGGGGAAGGACTCCATCTGGGATGCTCTGCAGAGTGCATGGTTTTGAATTGGTTTGCCAGATTTTGGGGGAGAACAGAATGGGTTGGCCTGCTGGGACTGCATTTCAGGGAGTGGCCAGGCACGTGTCCCCTGCTGGACCTTCTGTCCCGCCATCTGCCTGACTCCCTACCACTCGCCATCAGGTAGTCTCGCTGGGCCTGTACTGTGGTGAGCAGGCATACCTGCGCAGCAGCTGGAATGTGCTGGATGGCTTCCTCGTCTTCGTGTCAATCATTGACATTGTGGTATCTGTGGCATCGGCTGGTGGGGCCAAGATCCTGGGGGTCCTCCGGGTCCTGCGGCTCCTGCGCACCCTACGGCCCCTGCGGTGAGGGCTCTTCCCTGCAGATGGGGGTCCCTGCACTGTCCAGGGATGCCCCAGTGGTCTAAGTGGACTCCTCAGTCTGGCCCTCCCTACCCACTGAGTCTTCCTATAGCATATGCCAGATAGAGCATATGCCAGAGAATAAGGCCAGGGGCTGGGCTGTGGGCACAGCCCCTGGGGGAGGAGCCTGGAGACCCTGGTGTGTGTATGTGTGCACGCGCGCACGTGCATGCATGCACATACGCACTGGAACAGTGGGCCTGAAGATGACCCCCAAGGTTGCTACCCACCCTGTGTGTCTCCTGTGTATCTCTGGGTGACTCACAGCTGTCTCTGGTCCTCAGTCTGCAGACAAGGGTGTCGTGTAGACTCCAAGGGTATGGGGTAGACACAGTGCCTTGCTGTGCATATAGATCTGGGGCCTGGGGCCTCTGCCCCCATGGTTTCGGGCACTGTGGGGCTGGCCCCAGACCTAGTTGTAGTCTCACAACACCCTTGGCCCCTCCCTGCCTGCAGTGTTATCAGCCGGGCACCTGGTCTGAAACTGGTGGTGGAGACACTCATCTCCTCCCTTAAGCCCATTGGCAACATCGTCCTTATCTGCTGTGCCTTCTTCATTATCTTCGGCATCCTGGGGGTGCAGGTGAGGGGCACCCAAGCTGGTCTGGCACTGGGGTGGGCTCGGTGGTTGGGAAGAGGCTCCACACTCCTGCCCAACATTCCCGACCTTGTGCTGACTGTCCTGGGGCTCAGGTGGCCCTGGTGGAGCACCCAGCTCCCTGCCAGTGCGGAGCTTCTAGTCCAAACAAGGAGGAGAGAGACACAGGCCTACGTGTCAGCTCAAGGCAGGCTGGGTAAATGGGATCGCAGGGGTCCCAGCTGCACAGGAACACAAGCAAGCCTGGGAACAAGGAAAAAGCGCCCTAATGGAGGTGGCCTTTGCCCTGGGCCTTGAAGGAGAGGTGATTTCCACAAACAGGTCAGAGAAGGTGTTTCAGGGAGGATGAGTGCTTATGTGCAGGTGAGCCTAGGAGCTGTGGCTGGCATAGAGAGGTGAGCCAGACGTGGGCTGGGCCAAGCTGGGAAAGCCCTGGAATGGCAGCTAGGAGTTGGGGCTCGGTTTCTCTGGGGTCGGGGCCATGGAAGGTCTCTGACACAGGCAGGGTCTTGAGCTAACCTGGATTTTGGTTTGGAGCCCAGGAATATGATGGGGCCTTAGGGTAGGGCAGGAAGGAGTGGGGCAGATCATAAAGTGTGGGACAGGAGCGTGGCCACAATGACCCTGGCTTTCTGGGGTCTGAGCTGCTGCTGAGCCCCTTCTTCCTGTGTCTAGAGTGCCTGAGCCCGGTGCTGAGGCTCCTGGGCTCCCCACTGGTCCTGTGCTGGGTCTGTAGCTATAGAAGAGCTCTGGACACTGGTGACCTCTGGGGCTCTAAGAGGGCCACCACGGAGCTGCCTGGACAGGAGAGGCTTGATGCAGACCCTGTGTAGACAGTGGCCCTGCTCCTACTAGGCAGTTGATATGGAGAGGGCTTGGGTCTCTAGAGAGGGTCCTTTTACTTCCCTCTCTCTCGGAGTCCCGGTGACAGGACAGGGTCTGAGGAAGAGCCCAGGAATCAGATAGACTGTGGGGGGGAGCTGAGCCTTGGCCCTGACACTTCCTAAACCTCAAACAACTTTGAGAAAATTACCTGCCGCCACTGGGCCCCAGTGTCTGTCTCTGTGAGGTGGGATGAGTAGGCCCACGTTGTGTCAGGGGCTTGGTGAGATGGGATGGTTGTGTGCGTGGCCCACGCTGGCACAGAGGATGTGTCTCTTGAGGGGCGGATCCCTCTTCTGATTCACGCCACCCCTGCCCCTCCGGGAGTCCTGGCAGGACAGTCACTAGCCCTGTGGCCCTGCCCCCAGCTCTTCAAGGGCAAGTTCTACCACTGTCTGGGCATAGACACCCGCAACATCACCAACCGCTCCGACTGCGTGGCTGCCAACTACCGCTGGGTCCATCACAAGTACAACTTTGACAATCTGGGCCAGGTGAGTGCCATCCTCCTGCCCCTCACCTGACCTGCCCCAGTGGGTAGGGTTGACAGCTCTTTGGTGCCAATGTCCTGGGATTACAGGCCAACCTCCCATCCTGCCCTGCAAAGACTGACCTGTGACATCTCCTTTCCAAGCCTCTGTTTCCTCTTCTGCAAAACGAGCAGGGGCAGAGCTCAGCTCCCACGTCTAGGGAGGCTTCGAGTTCCTGAGTGCAGTGTCCAGCCAGTGCCTAGCACCTCATAGGTGCCTCTGTGGACATTGGTTCCTGGCTCCCAACCCCCACCTGGGGACTCTGACAAGAATTTTAGAGTCAGCCAGGCCTGGATGTGGATCCCCGTTCTGCCGCTTACTGTGGGTGTGACCTCTCTGAGCTTCAGTTTCCTCATCTGTCAAATGGGAATGTTAGAGCCCACCCCACGGGCTGTGGTAGGGTGGGTCTCCTTTCTTGTAGCCCATTGACTCTGCTTTTCACTTCAGCTGGCAGGAAGGTCCACCCACTTCCTGCCTTATCCTGTGTCCCCTCTCCTGGCAGCCTGCCAGGCTTGGCCTTTTGGGTAGGGCCACACATGAGAGCCTCAGTTGGCTGCCTCCAAAGAGTCTTGGACCCCCTCCCAGCCCTCAGAACTACCCCTAAGTCCTGAGGGCTCACCCAGATGACTAGGTGTGACTAAGTGGGATGCCTCCCCAGGTCACACAGGGAAGGAGCGGGCCCACACCATGGTCCGTGTGGCCCAGGAGCCAGGCCCTGCCTCTGCTGGGGCCCCTCCTCCAGCTGGACCCGCAGAGGCTCTCACCTGACATGACCGAGGACCCTGCTCTCCATGTCCCCTGGGGGAGGACCCATGGGGCAGTGAGTAGCCAGGGACAGGGGATCAAGGACAGGGACACAGTGGCTCCCCACCCCCTCCAGATTCTCCAGAGGTAGCATCTTTTCAAGTGGTTAACAACTCAATGGTTGGTAGTTTAAAAAAGGTGTCCCAGAAAGCTAAGGGAATGCTAGTGGGGGCCGTTTATGAGCTTGCTCCTGACCCTCTGGCCTCCCTGCCAGGCCCTGGCTCCCATGCATATCCAGCCTTTTCCCATTCTGGGCATGCTCAGTGCCAGGCTGATGCCTCTGGACCCCTGAGTAGGGTGTTCCCAGCGCAGAGGCATACGGGCATCCAGCATGGCCCAGAGCCTTTGATTCCTTGCTGCGCCCCTTACTAGCTGTGTGCCTTTCCGGCCAGTTCCAGCTTTTCTCTGTGCCTCAGTGTCCCCATCTGTAAATGGGAACAGTGGTAGCAGGTCTGTTAATCCCAGTCCCAGGCTCTCTGTACTTCAGGCCTCTGTGAACCAAGGGCTCTTGGGGACATTTGCCCTGTGGCACGTGGAAGCTTCATGTGCCTCCCTGGAAGGGAGGGCTCCCTCTGTGTCCCCTGCCCTGTGCCGGGCCTGCATTCTTTCTGGTGTGCCATTCCCACTTGGACGGGAAGAGGAAGGGTCTGTGCCTGGGATAGGTGGGAAGCAGGGGCCAGTGCAGGGCAGGAGACCCATCCCAGAACCCCACTTCCCAGCCTAGGACCCTGAGCTACAATAAATGAGCCAGCGTGGTGAAAGCTTGGAGGAGGGGAGGGGCCTTCTGGAGTAGGGTGTGTGACCTTTGGTCTACCTCTGGTGGTGGTGGACCTTTTGTGAACTACCAGCATGCTGAGGCTCTGCAAGGATGGCACTGGTTCAATCCAGCTCAGAAAACTTTATTGAGCACCTACTATGTGCGAGGCTCTGTTGAGTTCTCTAGGACCAGCCCATAGGCCTGTTGAGAGGGCATGAGGATGCTTTAGCCTGCCATCTATGTAGCCATGGCTGTCTGTCTCCTAGGGATCACTGCCATTCCAAAGTCTCACATTAGTGAGGGTAATTACAATCAAGGAAGCTGGGGCCCAGAGACGTGGAGGAACTTGCCCCTAGTCACACAACCAGTGAGTGGCAGAGCTTGGCCTGTGACCCAGGGCTCCTGACTTCGCTCGTGAGCTTCTGTTTTCAGGTGCTACAGGCAAGTTTGGAATGAGGTGACAGGGCCCCTTATGTTTGTCAGGAACCTTCCAGTTTAAACTCTCAGCAAACCTGTAGGCAGGCACTTAAGTATTAGCTCCATTCTGTGGGGGTGGAGACCCAAGCTCATGGATTTTCTTGCCCAGTTAATTTCAGACCTGAGACTGGAACCCAGGACTTCTGCAGCAGTGCCTGCAGAGATATGGCAGGCACATAGTAGGTCTTCAAGGTTTGTCTGTTGAGGACACAGTTCTGTTCTCAGTATGCGGAAGGCTTCTTTATCCTTCTGCCTCTCAGAGGCAGAAAAATGGAGAGCCCAAGAGGGGACAGACGCAGCCTAAGCTGTCAGTGCCCATCACCCCTGTACCCTCCCCTCCCTGCCTCTTCCAGGCCCTGATGTCCCTCTTTGTCCTGGCCTCCAAGGATGGCTGGGTGAACATCATGTACAATGGACTGGATGCTGTCGCTGTGGATCAGCAGGTGGGTGTGGCTGGGGCCAGGTCAGGCCTGGGCAGCAGGGGAGGGACACAGTGTCTTTGTGGCCAGTGGCCCGAAATGGGGGTCAGCAAGACCCGCAGACCCACTGTCAGCCGCAGTGCAGCCCTCGCCATCCTGGCCTGAATCTTCCACCGTGAGGGCTGCCCCTCGGGTAGTGTAGGTCATGGCTCCATTTGCTTCAACCTATCCTGCTGCTCTTCAGGGAGAGCCCTCGGAGCTGGCTCCTGCCTGGAGGGGCGCGGAGCCTTGTGGGGAACCAGGTGTGGGAGGAAGAGAAGGACTGAGCCAGCTGGCCTGAGGCAAGAGGGTGACGTGTCCAGGGGGTCGGGAGTGTGAGGACCAGGAGTAGGAGAGGGGCAGGAGGTGGGTGGAAGAGGTGAGCGGGGACGGAAGGTCAGGCAGACCCACGTGAGCCACGGCAGGGGCTGGAGTCTGTCTGAGGGCGGTGGGAGTCAGCGAAGGTGTTATAGCAAGGGAGTGACACCATCAGGTTTGCTTGTGGGAGCTTCTTGTGGGCTGCTGGGGGAAGATGGATTTAGGATGGAGGTGGGTGCAAGGGGTCACGAGGACTTTGGGCCTGAGAGGAGGCCTGGGCCCTCATTCCCAAGATCCTCCTGCGAGTAGGGGGTCCCCTCTGGGTCCAGGCAGGGACTTTAGGCAACACATAGCTGACCACGGTTGGCTGTGTCCAGGCGGAGAGGTCACTGGGAGAAGGAACAGGGAGATGCTCCAGGTCAGGACAGGGCCCACTCAGTGAAGGAGTCAGGACAGCGGGTAACCCCCAGGCCTGTAAGTGACCTCTGGCCCTTAACCCTGTGTGACTCTAGAGCTAGAGGTGGGGATGGAGAAGTGGGCAGAGTGAGAACACTTGGAGGTATCTTTCTCCACTTCTTAGCCTGTTCACCACCCACACCAACACCAACACCCACACCAACACCCCCCCCCCCACACACACACACGTGGACTCAGGGCTGTGCTGTCCCCTCTGTTGGCTGCCTTCTTTCTGCCTTGTTTCTGGATAAGTGATGAACAAGTGAATGGAGGGCCGATGGATAGATGGCGGATGGATAGAGGGATGGATGGATAGTGGGTGGTTGGATGAATAATGGATAAATGGATGGATGGGTAGGCAGGTGGGTGAGAAGAACAAGATACGGATGTGTCCAGGAGGCAGCAACTGCAGCCGGGAAGAGGAGGGGCCCTGTTTGCTGAGCACCTTGCTTGTGCCAGGCCAGGTGGGCACTCCCTACCTGCTGTCTCCTCCAAACCTCCCGGCCCCCCGGGAGGCAGGCCTGGTCGGTCCCTTCTGCGCTGAGGCCGAGTGAGGCAGGCGCCGGCCCACAGTGGGTCCTCCGTGCCCGACCTGCTGCCTCAGCCTGCCTGGCTCCCTGCAGCCCGTGCCCAACCACAACCCGTGGATGCTGCTCTACTTCATCTCCTTCCTGCTCATCGTCAGCTTCTTCGTGCTCAACATGTTTGTGGGTGTCGTGGTGGAGAACTTCCACAAGTGCCGGCAGCACCAGGAGGCCGAGGAGGCGCGGCGACGCGAGGAGAAGCGGCTGCGGCGCCTGGAGAAGAGGCGCCGGAGTGAGTGGTGACCGCGGAGATAGGGCTGCCCCGGGCCCCAGGCACCTCCGTCCCCTGCTGCTGGTCTCCTGGGCGCAGCTGAGGGCTGGGCCTGACCCCAGCCTCTGGGCCTTGGGACCTGGAAGAGGACACAGGATATGACCCTGTGCCCCCGGGCCCTCTCCTTCCCCCAGGGTCTGCTTGTCCAGGTGGCCTGCCCTCCGGCTGGTATCCACCTGGAGTCAGGTGACCCTACTGCCAACCTGAATGAGGCCCCAGGTGCTCAGTCCAGACAGAGGGCAAGGGCAGAGCTGTAGGGCCCCTGTCCTCCCCCACAGCAGACCTGGAGCCCCTGCCCTGGGCATGATGGGGTAGATGAGGGGAACTAGCATCCTGCTCTCTGCCACCCTCCTAAGGATCCTACTCCTTGGCCTTGTGGCCCCTGGCTGGGCGGACGAGACCCAACTCTGGCTCCCAGGCCTAGGGAAGAGCAACATCTCTCCCCCTTGCTTCCTCCCTCCCTCTGCCTCCCCCTCTGTGTGCTCTGTCCCCCACCTCGGCCCCACCCTGTGTGGGCTGTGCCCTGCACCCATCTCCAGAGGCCCAGCGGCTGCCCTACTATGCCACCTACTGTCCCACCCGGCTGCTCATCCACTCCATGTGTACCAGCCACTACCTGGACATCTTTATCACCTTCATCATCTGCCTCAATGTGGTCACCATGTCCCTGGAGCACTACAATCAGCCCCCGGTGAGCCCTGTACCCAGCCCCAGCCTTGGCCCGAAGTCACATGGCAGGGTTGGGTCTTCAGCAGGACCCCACTGCAGGGACAGAGTGAGACAGCATCTGAGTGCTATGGAGCCCTGTGCCCAGGTAGCTCACAGCTTGGTAGGACAGATGAGTCACAGGGGATGGTCAGAGGCAAAGGTCACTTGTTCTTGGTGAGGTGGAGGTGATATTTGGGCCCAGCCTTAAGCATGGTAACAGTGTAGTGTGTTCAGTATGACTCTTTGCAAGGCACCCTATAGGTATTAACTCTCTAACCTCACTGCCACCCTAAGATTGGGTTGGGACCTTCCTCCAGATTTTATAGATGGAGAAACAGGTTCAGAGAGAGAGCATGCTGCCCAAATTGCTCAGTCAGCAAGTAGCAGATCTGGGGCTGGAACTCAGAGTTGCCTTCAAGGCCTGCCACATGGTCTCCATTACTACCTGGGCATATAGAGCTTGGGAGATGGGCATCCCAGGGTGAGGATCATGGGGGCAAACAGAGGGAGACAGGTTCCCAGCTATTGTTGCCTGCAGTGTGTGTCAGGGACGTGTACAGGCAAGTATATTCTAAGAGCTTCCATTTAGTGGAGTTGGGGAGCAGAAAAAGGGAGTGGAGCCTCCAGATGAAGAATAATGAAAGCAGGGAAAAAGAAGTCAACCATTGGCAGAATAGAGCAGTAATTGTAGAACTTCCAAATTAACATGAAGAAAGACAATAATAATAGCTCCTATTTACCAAGCATTTATTTTGTGCTTAGCATTGAACTATTAGTTCATTTAATTTTCATGGCAACTTTCTGAGCTGGGTACTATTATCATCCCTAATTTACATATTGAGAAATGAAGTCCCAGACAGGTCAAGTGACTTTCCCAAGGTCACACAGTGAATAGGGAATAATTTCTGGGCCAGGATTCAAATCTAGGCAGTCCAGTTCTTGACCATGACCCTTAACCATTAACCCATACTGCCTCCAAAGAAGGGCAACTGGACCAAACCAGAAAAATAAGAAGGGGACTCTGACAAGAATTTTAGAGTCAGCCAGGCCTGGATGTGGATCCCCGTTCTGCCGCTTACTGTGGGTGTGACCTCTCTGAGCTTCAGTTTCCTCATCTGTCAAATGGGAATGTTAGAGCCCACCCCACAGGCTGTGGTAGGGTGGGTCTCCTTTCTTGTAGCCCATTGACTCTGCTTTTCACTTCAGCTGGCAGGAAGGTCCACCCACTTCCTGCCTTATCCTGTGTCCCCTCTCCTGGCAGCCTGCCAGGCTTGGCCTTTTGGGTAGGGCCACACATGAGAGCCTCAGTTGGCTGCCTCCAAAGAGTCTTGGACCCCCTCCCAGCCCTCAGAACTACCCCTAAGTCCTGAGGGCTCACCCAGATGACTAGGTGTGACTAAGTGGGATGCCTCCCCAGGTCACACAGGGAAGGAGCGGGCCCACACCATGGTCCGTGTGGCCCAGGAGCCAGGCCCTGCCTCTGCTGGGGCCCCTCCTCCAGCTGGACCCGCAGAGGCTCTCACCTGACATGACCGAGGACCCCGCTCTCCATGTCCCCTGGGGGAGGACCCATGGGGCAGTGAGTAGCCAGGGACAGGGGATCAAGGACAGGGACACAGTGGCTCCCCACCCCCTCCAGATTCTCCAGAGGTAGCATCTTTTCAAGTGGTTAACAACTCAATGGTTGGTAGTTTAAAAAAGGTGTCCCAGAAAGCTAAGGGAATGCTAGTGGGGGCCGTTTATGAGCTTGCTCCTGACCCTCTGGCCTCCCTGCCAGGCCCTGGCTCCCATGCATATCCAGCCTTTTCCCATTCTGGGCATGCTCAGTGCCAGGCTGATGCCTCTGGACCCCTGAGTAGGGTGTTCCCAGCGCAGAGGCATACGGGCATCCAGCATGGCCCAGAGCCTTTGATTCCTTGCTGCGCCCCTTACTAGCTGTGTGCCTTTCCGGCCAGTTCCAGCTTTTCTCTGTGCCTCAGTGTCCCCGTCTGTAAATGGGAACAGTGGTAGCAGGTCTGTTAATCCCAGTCCCAGGCTCTCTGTACTTCAGGCCTCTGTGAACCAAGGGCTCTTGGGGACATTTGCCCTGTGGCACGTGGAAGCTTCATGTGCCTCCCTGGAAGGGAGGGCTCCCTCTGTGTCCCCTGCCCTGTGCCGGGCCTGCATTCTTTCTGGTGTACCATTCCCACTTGGACGGGAAGAGGAAGGGTCTGTGCCTGGGATAGGTGGGAAGCAGGGGCCAGTGCAGGGCAGGAGACCCATCCCAGAACCCCACTTCCCAGCCTAGGACCCTGAGCTACAATAAATGAGCCAGCGTGGTGAAAGCTTGGAGGAGGGGAGGGGCCTTCTGGGTAGGGTGTGTGACCTTTGGTCTACCTCTGGTGGTGGTGGACCTTTTGTGAACTACCAGCATGCTGAGGCTCTGCAAGGATGGCACTGGTTCAATCCAGCTCAGAAAACTTTATTGAGCACCTACTATGTGCGAGGCTCTGTTGAGTTCTCTAGGACCAGCCCATAGGCCTGTTGAGAGGGCATGAGGATGCTTTAGCCTGCCATCTATGTAGCCATGGCTGTCTGTCTCCTAGGGATCACTGCCATTCCAAAGTCTCACATTAGTGAGGGTAATTACAATCAAGGAAGCTGGGGCCCAGAGACGTGGAGGAACTTGCCCCTAGTCACACAACCAGTGAGTGGCAGAGCTTGGCCTGTGACCCAGGGCTCCTGACTTCGCTCGTGAGCTTCTGTTTTCAGGTGCTACAGGCAAGTTTGGAATGAGGTGACAGGGCCCCTTATGTTTGTCAGGAACCTTCCAGTTTAAACTCTCAGCAAACCTGTAGGCAGGCACTTAAGTATTAGCTCCATTCTGTGGGGGTGGAGACCCAAGCTCATGGATTTTCTTGCCCAGTTAATTTCAGACCTGAGACTGGAACCCAGGACTTCTGCAGCAGTGCCTGCAGAGATATGGCAGGCACATAGTAGGTCTTCAAGGTTTGTCTGTTGAGGACACAGTTCTGTTCTCAGTATGCGGAAGGCTTCTTTATCCTTCTGCCTCTCAGAGGCAGAAAAATGGAGAGCCCAAGAGGGGACAGACGCAGCCTAAGCTGTCAGTGCCCATCACCCCTGTACCCTCCCCTCCCTGCCTCTTCCAGGCCCTGATGTCCCTCTTTGTCCTGGCCTCCAAGGATGGCTGGGTGAACATCATGTACAATGGACTGGATGCTGTCGCTGTGGATCAGCAGGTGGGTGTGGCTGGGGCCAGGTCAGGCCTGGGCAGCAGGGGAGGGACACAGTGTCTTTGTGGCCAGTGGCCCGCAATGGGGGTCAGCAAGACCCGCAGACCCACTGTCAGCCGCAGTGCAGCCCTCGCCATCCTGGCCTGAATCTTCCACCGTGAGGGCTGCCCCTCGGGTAGTGTAAGTCATGGCTCCATTTGCTTCAACCTATCCTGCTGCTCTTCAGGGAGAGCCCTCGGAGCTGGCTCCTGCCTGGAGGGGCGCGGAGCCTTGTGGGGAACCAGGTGTGGGAGGAAGAGAAGGACTGAGCCAGCTGGCCTGAGGCAAGAGGGTGACGTGTCCAGGGGGTCGGGAGTGTGAGGACCAGGAGTAGGAGAGGGGCAGGAGGTGGGTGGAAGAGGTGAGCGGGGACGGAAGGTCAGGCAGACCCACGTGAGCCACGGCAGGGGCTGGAGTCTGTCTGAGGGCGGTGGGAGTCAGCGACGGTGTTATAGCAAGGGAGTGACACCATCAGGTTTGCTTGTGGGAGCTTCTTGTGGGCTGCTGGGGGAAGATGGATTTAGGATGGAGGTGGGTGCAAGGGGTCACGAGGACTTTGGGCCTGAGAGGAGGCCTGGGCCCTCATTCCCAAGATCCTCCTGCGAGTAGGGGGTCCCCTCTGGGTCCAGGCAGGGACTTTAGGCAACACATAGCTGACCACGGTTGGCTGTGTCCAGGCGGAGAGGTCACTGGGAGAAGGAACAGGGAGATGCTCCTGGTCAGGACAGGGCCCACTCAGTGAAGGAGTCAGGACAGCGGGTAACCCCCAGGCCTGTAAGTGACCTCTGGCCCTTAACCCTATGTGACTCTAGAGCTAGAGGTGGGGATGGAGAAGTGGGCAGAGTGAGAACACTTGGAGGTATCTTTCTCCACTTCTTAGCCTGTTCACCACCCACACCCACACCAACACCCACACCAACACACACACACACACACACACACGTGGACTCAGGGCTGTGCTGTCCCCTCTGTTGGCTGCCTTCTTTCTGCCTTGTTTCTGGATAAGTGATGAACAAGTGAATGGAGGGCCGATGGATAGATGGCGGATGGATAGAGGGATGGATGGATAGTGGGTGGTTGGATGAATAATGGATAAATGGATGGATGGGTAGGCAGGTGGGTGAGAAGAACAAGATACGGATGTGTCCAGGAGGCAGCAACTGCAGCCGGGAAGAGGAGGGGCCCTGTTTGCTGAGCACCTTGCTTGTGCCAGGCCAGGTGGGCACTCCCTACCTGCTGTCTCCTCCAAACCTCCCGGCCCCCCGGGAGGCAGGCCTGGTCGGTCCCTTCTGCGCTGAGGCCGAGTGAGGCAGGCGCCGGCCCACAGTGGGTCCTCCGTGCCCGACCTGCTGCCTCAGCCTGCCTGGCTCCCTGCAGCCCGTGCCCAACCACAACCCGTGGATGCTGCTCTACTTCATCTCCTTCCTGCTCATCGTCAGCTTCTTCGTGCTCAACATGTTTGTGGGTGTCGTGGTGGAGAACTTCCACAAGTGCCGGCAGCACCAGGAGGCCGAGGAGGCGCGGCGACGCGAGGAGAAGCGGCTGCGGCGCCTGGAGAAGAGGCGCCGGAGTGAGTGGTGACCGTGGAGATAGGGCTGCCCCGGGCCCCAGGCACCTCCGTCCCCTGCTGCTGGTCTCCTGGGCGCAGCTGAGGGCTGGGCCTGACCCCAGCCTCTGGGCCTTGGGACCTGGAAGAGGACACAGGATATGACCCTGTGCCCCCGGGCCCTCTCCTTCCCCCAGGGTCTGCTTGTCCAGGTGGCCTGCCCTCCGGCTGGTATCCACCTGGAGTCAGGTGACCCTACTGCCAACCTGAATGAGGCCCCAGGTGCTCAGTCCAGACAGAGGGCAAGGGCAGAGCTGTAGGGCCCCTGTCCTCCCCCACAGCAGACCTGGAGCCCCTGCCCTGGGCATGATGGGGTAGATGAGGGGAACTAGCATCCTGCTCTCTGCCACCCTCCTAAGGATCCTACTCCTTGGCCTTGTGGCCCCTGGCTGGGCGGACGAGACCCAACTCTGGCTCCCAGGCCTAGGGAAGAGCAACATCTCTCCCCCTTGCTTCCTCCCTCCCTCTGCCTCCCCCTCTGTGTGCTCTGTCCCCCACCTCGGCCCCACCCTGTGTGGGCTGTGCCCTGCACCCATCTCCAGAGGCCCAGCGGCTGCCCTACTATGCCACCTACTGTCCCACCCGGCTGCTCATCCACTCCATGTGTACCAGCCACTACCTGGACATCTTTATCACCTTCATCATCTGCCTCAATGTGGTCACCATGTCCCTGGAGCACTACAATCAGCCCCCGGTGAGCCCTGTACCCAGCCCCAGCCTTGGCCCGAAGTCACATGGCAGGGTTGGGTCTTCAGCAGGACCCCACTGCAGGGACAGAGTGAGACAGCGTCCGAGTGCTATGGAGCCCTGTGCCCAGGTAGCTCACAGCTTGGTAGGACAGATGAGTCACAGGGGATGGTCAGAGGCAAAGGTCACTTGTTCTTGGTGAGGTGGAGGTGATATTTGGGCCCAGCCTTAAGCATGGTAACAGTGTAGTGTGTTCAGTATGACTCTTTGCAAGGCACCCTATAGGTATTAACTCTCTAACCTCACTGCCACCCTAAGATCGGGTTGGGACCTTCCTCCAGATTTTATAGATGGAGAAACAGGCTCAGAGAGAGAGCATGCTGCCCAAATTGCTCAGTCAGCAAGTAGCAGGTCTGGGGCTGGAACTCAGAGTTGCCTTCAAGGCCTGCCACATGGTCTCCATTACTACCTGGGCATATAGAGCTTGGGAGATGGGCATCCCAGGGTGAGGATCATGGGGGCAAACAGAGGGAGACAGGTTCCCAGCTATTGTTGCCTGCAGTGTGTGTCAGGGACGTGTACAGGCAAGTATATTCTAAGAGCTTCCATTTAGTGGAGTTGGGGAGCAGAAAAAGGGAGTGGAGCCTCCAGATGAAGAATAATGAAAGCAGGGAAAAAGAAGTCAACCATTGGCAGAATAGAGCAGTAATTGTAGAACTTCCAAATTAACATGAAGAAAGACAATAATAATAGCTCCTATTTACCAAGCATTTATTTTGTGCTTAGCATTGAACTATTAGTTCATTTAATTTTCATGGCAACTTTCTGAGCTGGGTACTATTATCATCCCTAATTTATATATTGAGAAATGAAGTCCCAGACAGGTCAAGTGACTTTCCCAAGGTCACACAGTGAATAGGGAATAATTTCTGGGCCAGGATTCAAATCTAGGCAGTCCAGTTCTTGACCGTGACCCTTAACCATTAACCCATACTGCCTCCAAAGAAGGGCAACTGGACCAAACCAGAAAAATAAGAAAGAGGAAACAGCAATGTAGAATAAATAGTAGAATTAAATAAAATATAGAATTAAAATGTAGAAATAATTAAATGTAGAATTAAATAAAATGGAAGGAATAAAAACAGATACATAAATAATTGCACTAAATGTAAATGGACTAAATCCTACCCTTAAAATGCAGAGACTTCCTGGCTGGAAGAAGGGGGTGGGGTCGGGTGGGGCAGGTCATGGGGCCCAGATGATGCTTCTCTTTGCCCCCCATAGTCCCTGGAGACAGCCCTCAAGTACTGCAACTACATGTTCACCACTGTCTTTGTGCTGGAGGCTGTGCTGAAGCTGGTGGCGTTTGGTCTGAGGCGCTTTTTCAAGGACCGGTGAGCCACTTGACTGGGGTAGGGCAGCCTAGAGTAGGCTGCGGAATGGGGAAGCTTGGAGCAGCCAAAGGAGGGGAGCCAGTTAGTGTCTGGGCACTGAAGGCTAGGGGTCCCTGGGTGCTGCTTACGGCCCTGAACAGGAAGTGATTTTGGTCCCACCTGACGGGTACAGGGCATTCTACCAAGCCTTCTCAGCTTATCTCTCATACCCCATAGGCCAAGCAGAGCATACCTCATGCTAGTCATTTTCAGATGGAACAAATGAGGCTCAAAGAACTTGAGGGACTAACCCAAGACCACACACAGGGCGTAGCTGGCTCAAGATTCAGACCTAGAAGTCAGAGCCCATTCCTCCTTCCTTGCAAGAAGCAGATATGTTTATTTAGCCTGGTCAGCTTCTTGCTTGAGGGATCAGAGGCTGTGGGGGACTGAGAGGGAGCTGGACCTGGTCAGGGCTGCAGGGGTAAGTAGGGAGGTGGCCACAAAAGGAGGATGGAGACCTGGAAAGCACCTCCCAACTGAGAGATTTCTAAACTGGAGTGCCCCTCCCCCTGCTTCCCACTCCTGCCCTCCCCTGCCCGCCTGAGCAGGTGGAATCAGCTGGACCTGGCCATCGTGCTGCTGTCAGTCATGGGCATCACGCTGGAGGAGATCGAGATCAATGCGGCGCTGCCCATCAACCCCACCATCATCCGCATCATGCGGGTTCTGCGCATCGCCCGGGGTGAGGGCCTCGGGGGACAGGTGGGGACAGGCAGGGGTAGGATGGGACCCTTCATCACCCAGGGAGAGCCCCAGCAGTGGGATGGGGGCAACAGGGAGAGGGGCATGTAGGCACGATGGGCTTCCTGTTGATCTGGGAGAATAGGAGCCGGGAGAGCACACACCTGAGGCACACCCACACCCTGTGTGTACACACTCACGTGCCCCCCTCCACAGCTCTGTACAGCGCACTGCAGCCCTGCCTCCTTGTAACACCATGCCCCATGTGGTCCAGTCTCAGGCTGGGATGAAAGGACCCAGGGAAGCTGGGAAGAACCTGGGAAGTAATTCTAGTTCCTCACTGGCATGTCTCCAGCACTGTGGCTGGGACGCACGTTGTCCAACGCTTCTTAAAATCCCTGCCTCTCCCCGAAGCTCATTCTCTCCCTAGGGCTGCCCCTGCACTTCCTATAAAAGCCCCCTGCTCAGTTCTCAACCAGGTACCTCTTGCTGTTCTACCTACATCTGCCTATTGCCTCCAGATTCTGAGGTGGGAGGGCTGAGGAGAAGCTCAGCAGGGAACACTGGTGCCCAGAGGAAAGTGAGAGACGTGGGCATTTGCTGCTCAGCCATTTTTCCCTCCTGGCTGTGAATTGTGTGCTCACTCACATGCTTTATGTCCCTCCGTTCCCACTGTGAGTGTCCTCATTGTCTTGGAATTTTTTACACCAATGTCCACAGGTGCACACGTATTTTTGGGCACACCCCATTCAGCTGCACCCACATTCTTGAAGTGTGGCATCACAGAGCCGTCCCCTTTGCTTACACGCTCCTCCATTTCTCACTTTTCTTCCGCATTTACCCATGTGCACACACGTGTACGCACACATCCCTACTGGCCTGGGCTGAGGGGAACGGGCTGGGTCTTGTCCATAGTGCTGAAGCTGTTGAAGATGGCCACGGGGATGCGGGCCCTGCTGGACACGGTGGTGCAAGCTCTGCCCCAGGTAAGATCCAGTCCCTCTGGCAGCCACCCTGGCTGTTACTGATGTCATGCTGGGCCCTGGGCAAAGGTGCAGGCCAAGACTTCCCTTCTCTCCAAACCTGCCCAGAGCCAGGGCAGAATCCCGTAGCCAGAGAAGCATGTTGAGCCAGGGGCTGTGAGAGAAGGAAAGGTCCCCTCTGCCTCTTTCCTCCGGAGTTCACCAAGTGCTTGCCAGCATGTGCTCTGTACCTAGCCCTGTGCTGGGCACCGAGGACCCACATTCTGCCCTCAGAGTCAACAGGCTTGTGGGGAAGACAGATCAATGTAGGGAGGAGCCTAAGACATGCTGGAGAGAGGGGAGGGCCCTGCCACTCCCCCGGGGAAGTCAGGGAAGGCATCAGGGGACTCTGAGCTTGATCTTGTAGGGTGGCTTGGCAGAAAGAGGTGGTGATGTGGATATATGTGTTCAGATATGACATTAGAGGAGGGAACAGCATGAGACCTGACCTGGGTGGGAACCCTGGGAAGTAAGCTTCTCCCCACCCCCACCGCATGCCATTGGTCAGTGGAAGTAGATAGGGTCAGGGTCACAGGGGGCACATCTCTCATCCTCCTGGGAGTGCTGTAATCCCAGTCCTTTCCTTCCCCCTCTCCTGACTACTTAAGGCTCCTGTCTCCCTGCCCTCAGGTTGGTCTCTTCTCTGAGGTGAGCCTCATGCACATTCATTTATTCATGACTCATCTAGTCTTAAAGAGCTTTAAAAGGCATCTTTAAATAAAAGACACAGATACAACATGATACAAATGAAGATAAAAGATTAACAGCCCAGGAAAGGTGGAAGCAAAGCTGAATTTCTCAGGGCCTATGCTAAGCATACTAGTGAGTTTTGTTCTTGAGTGTGGTGTGAGCTTCCCAGCAACCCAGTAGCAAAGGGAAAGTGACATGGTTCTCATCAGGTCTGGATGGAAGGCAAGGATGTTTATTCCAAGAGATGTGGGGTTTTTTAGTGTTAAATCCCCTCAAGGAATTTTTTAAGTGGAAGATGGGGGTAAGCACTGGGTGTGGGGATATGCAGACAGGAAGTAGGTCGGAGCCTGGCCTCAAGCCACTCTGCGACGTTGGTCATGTGACTACTACTTGTGCCTCAACTTCCTTGCCTGTGAAATGGGATGATAATAGTGCTTATCTCAAAGGGTTTTGTAATGTTTAAAATAAATAAAGCTTATAAAGTGATAAATAGGACCCAGGTCACAGGAGTGCCATATGAAGGTCTGTTGAGGATGGGCTGCCTCCTTGACCTCCCTACCCTCTCCCCTTCCTCATGTTCTGACCCTGGGACCCATATAACCCTGAGATGCTGTCATATGGATGCTGGACATTTCCTTCATTCTCTGTAAAATGCTATGAAAATGATACTTTGACCCCTTCCCATCAGGCTCTGCCTCACGCCAAGGGTGGAAGCATCAGGGAAGGCAACTCAGAGGAGGTGACCCATGACCTGGGCTTTGAGGAGTGGGGAGAAGGTATTTGTCAGGCAGACAGAGAGGGGGTCTTCCCTACAGAGGGAACAGAATATGCAAAAAGGGTCTGTTTTCCCTGTGGCTGGAAGTTGGAAGATCAGGCTGAGAGGGGGTCCTCAGGGCTAGGCCACAAAGGCCTTCAATACCAGGACAGCAAACTTGGGCTTTATCCTGTGGGCAGGGGCGCCACGGGAGTTCTGGACAAGGAACGCCTCAAGCAGAGCTGCCTTTTAGAGGTTGCTCTGGTGACCAGAGGAGAACGGATGAGAGAGGGAGGCTGGAAGTGGGGGTGTCAGTGAGGAGGCTTCTGCAGCCAGGCAGGCTCCAGGGGGTGCTGAGGGCGCAGGGGATACTGAAGGAGAGGTGAGGTCGACCTGGTTAGGAAACACTGCTGACCTGGGCCTACCCAGGGTCTGTGAGGGCCAAGGCCATGCCCCCTCCATCTCAGCTGCCAGCCTCACACCTCACCTCACCTGGTAGGGGCTCAGCAAATTCTTCCATTAATAAACAGCATTGTGTAGTCAGACACTATCTGTGTGATTGTAAAACAGCTTGGAAGGAAACCCTCCTCTGGGGCAGAGAAACATTTGGGTCTGTGATTAACATGGTTCCTTTACAGCGACTATTGTGGACACCCTCTGATTCCATTCATGCAGGCCTTCTGAGCATTCTAGGAGATATTTCATGTCTAGGGCAAGAATGTGTTTAGCTTTTTCTTATCCATAGCATGAGTTAAAGGCAGTCTCCAGCATGGAGACCATCTATCCAGTGTGGATAGTTTTAAAATAGCTTTATAATCTGGGACGTTTTTCTCCCACAGGAGCTGTGGGACGGGGGTGGCTGGGTTTGCAGGAAGCTTCTGGGGACAATCCTGCAGGATTTCTGTGTTCAGTCTCCATGGCCAGGCCTTGGACTGGCCTGAGGAGGCAGATTCGACCGAATCCAGCCATGTCCCTGCTCTCAAGGACTTCCCAGACCAGCAGAGGACACTGATAGGGACCCACTGGTGAACTCACACTGTCAGACTGCATCCCGGTCTGCCTGGAGGGATCCAGGCAGGCTTCATGGAGGCTGAGGCATTATTGCTGACGCGTTCTTCCTTCCCTTGCTCCATTCAGCCACAGGACTTTGCTAACCCCGCATAGGGATATGGAGTAGCAATTGTGTGCAGAGGCCATGGGGCTAGCCTGCTGAGTTTGAATCCCACTATGAGCTGTGTGGTCCAGGGGAAGTTACTTCACCACTCAGCATGTTTCTTTCTTCATCTGAAGAATGGGAGTGAAAGACAATTGATAGATCGTTGTGTGCAGTGAGGCAGCCAATCTACCTAAACCTAAAATGAACACTTGAAACTGGGCAGCTCATAGGAAAGCCTTGGGCATTTAGTTACCGTTCGGTGCTTTGTGCTGGACCCAGCCTCCTCCAGGTCCTTGGGGGTGGCAGCTGAGGACACAGAGCCTGGTAGAATGTTACTGCTGTCCTCACACTCAGGCTGGCCCTTTGCTGGGACCAGCAGTGCCCCCACCCCGCGCCCCATGTCCCCTGCCTGCAACCTCCCCAGGCCCGGCCGAGCCCCACATGCTCTCACTACAGGTGGGCAACCTGGGCCTCCTGTTTATGCTGCTCTTCTTCATCTACGCGGCCCTGGGCGTGGAGCTGTTTGGGAAGCTGGGTGAGTGCCTCCTGAAGCTGCCTGGGGTGGCCTGTGGGGGGGAACAGGAATGAAGGAGGGCCTTGGCAGCGTGGGAGGCCTGAGTTCCCTCCCCCAAACTGTCACATCAGGGTGTGTACTGGGGAGGTGCCCCCACAGCAGGCCCATAGGGGGATGGGTGGGTGACCCTCAGCCATTCACATCCCCCTACTGGGGTGGGTGGTAGCTTTTGAGGCGTGCTAGCCTGGACAGGTACCCCTGACTTGGGTCACCCCAGCTGTCTGAGCTCCTGGAGATGCCCCCTTAGGCCACACATGCCAGTGCCCATTCTGAGCCAGCACCACCCCAGCAAGCAGAGCAGCCAGGGCACAGGCTGAAGGCAGCCCGGCCCATGCCCAGCTCAGCCCTGCACAGAGTCCAACCCAGAAAGTGGAGCTCCCCTGGGGGCCGGCCCTCACTCAAGCCATCCTCTGCAGGCCCCTGAGCCTGAGGCCCAGTTTGTGTGCTATCTCCCTGAACCTCAGTTTCTCCGTCTGTGGGCTGGGCACAGTCCACACGCGCCTCCAAGGGTTGTAGTGGGGATTCTGAGATGAGGCTGGGATGCCCCAGTGCAGGCGGGCAGTGCAGGGAGCTCTCCTGTCTCCTTGCAGTCTGCAACGACGAGAACCCCTGTGAGGGCATGAGCCGGCATGCCACCTTTGAGAACTTCGGCATGGCCTTCCTCACGCTCTTCCAGGTCTCCACTGGTGACAACTGGAACGGGATCATGAAGGTACTTATGGGCGGGTTGAGGGGAAGAAATCAGGTTGGCTTCTGAGACCACAGGTGCTGGTGCTGATCCCGGTGGGCCTTGGTCTTCCCAGCGCCCCACTGCACTCAGGAGGGGGTACACGAGAAATGGAGGGCACTGCCCTGCACCCTGAGGCCCAGTGAGGTGGAGATGAAGCCAGATGAGTCCCCTTTCTACCCCTAAATGATGCACTGGGGTCAGAGCTCAGATTCTAGAGGACACAACTCTGTCCAGTGCCAGAGGGGACCTGGGGCCCACACAAAGCCCAGGACCAGGGACTCCAGTCCCTTCTCCTGCAGTGCCAGGCTGTGGTGCCTGCTGCGGTGCCTGCTGAAGGCTCCTTGGCCCACAGTCTGCACAGGCAGGCGCTCATGGGGGACAGAGCTGGGGCCTGGGCCTCACCACTGTCCCCTGCCCCGGCTGGCGCAGGACACGCTGCGGGACTGCACACACGACGAGCGCAGCTGCCTGAGCAGCCTGCAGTTTGTGTCGCCGCTGTACTTCGTCAGCTTCGTGCTCACGGCCCAGTTCGTGCTCATCAACGTGGTGGTGGCCGTGCTCATGAAGCACCTGGATGACAGCAACAAGGAGGCCCAGGAGGAAGCCGAGATGGACGCCGAGCTCGAGCTGGAGATGGCCCACGGCCTGGGCCCTGGCCCGCGGCCCCCTGCCGGCTCCCCGGGGGCACCCGGCCGAGAGCCAGGAGGGGCGGGCAGCGGGGGTGATGCCGAGGGCCCCCTGTGTCGGCGCTGCTACTCTCCAGCCCAGGTGGGGTCCCGAGAGGGCATGAGGGAGGCAGGGCACCATGGGGCTGGAGGGGCAGCTGGGCCAGGAGGCCTCGTCTGTGTTGTTTTGGACCCCACCCTGCTCAGCTCTGGTGAAGGGGTGACCCTGTGACAGGGGGTTCGGGCCCAGGCCACAGGCACAGAGAACGGGGAGGGCAGCTGTGCCTCGCCCACCCTGTAATCCCTGGACCCAGCCGATAATCCCGCCTGTCCCCACCCCGTCCCCGTCCGCCTAGGAGAATCTGTGGCTGGACAGCGTCTCTTTAATCATCAAGGACTCCTTGGAGGGGGAGCTGACCATCATCGACAACCTGTCTGGTTCCATCTTCCACCATTACTCCTCGCCCGCTGGCTGCAAGAGGTGTCACGACAAGCAGGAGGTAAGCAACACCTCACCTGGCACCTTGCGGTGGGGGCTGCATGCAGCCTGGTGGGGGCCTGCCAGAGGGAGAAGCCTGGTGGGGGCAGAGACGCAGCTGCGCCAACTTGGCTAATGCTGGCCAGCCTCAATGGCTACTTGGTCTGAGGGCAAGTAGACCAGCTTTGGGGTTCACTGACCACAGCCACTCATCTGCCCTCTGGCCCAGCCCAGGCCTGGCACTCTCCTGGTGCTGACACCATCGTGTTGCTTTCCCTGCCCCCTGCGGAGGCTGGGCCCCCTTGGAGGGAGGGCACACCATCCTGGCTCAACAGACCTCTGGACCTCTCACCCCACCAGCCAGCATCTTACTGGAGGACACAGGGGGGACTTGAGGCTGCCACCTCTTCCCATAGGTGCAGCTGGCCGAGACGGAGGCCTTCTCCCTGAACTCAGACAGGTCCTCATCCATCTTGCTGGGTGATGACCTCAGTCTCGAGGACCCCACAGCCTGCCCGCTTGGCCCCAAAGACAGCAAGGTGAGCAGCCCTGGGGGGCTCCCGGTAAGCAGGTCTGTCCCTGCAGGCTGGCATCGCCCACCCAGCCAGGACACCGTGTCTTCTGGGTGCACCTGCTGTGTGCTGGGCTTTCATCTCTTGTCTGGTGGATGCAGCAGTGGGGTTTGCCATTGGCAGGCCAACTCACAGCGAGGCTGGGAGGCTGAAGAGAATGGGGGAGAGTCACATCAGGAGCAAGTGCCTACTGTGTGCCAGACACTTTACTTGCACTCAGTCTGTGCCCCAGCTTGTGGAATTAGGGATGACTTGGTCCCATTTCACACTAAGTAAATGGGGGCTCCAAGGAGTGAGGTGGCTTGTTTACCTCACACATTTGGGATGGCAGAGCAGGAAAGCCAGCCCTCTGCTCCCTGCGGGTCAGTCCGAGGAGGCCTGGCAGGCCCCAGGGCCCCTGTGTGATCCTGCAGCCTCAGGCCGGAGAGGTCGGCTGCTGGGCTTGTGACTTCAAGGCCAGGGTGTGAGAGGAGCTGTGGAGGGGGCGGGGCAGTCCCTGGCCTCTCCCCTAAACGTCAGAGCGGCCTGGGTTTGGCAGCACTGTCCCCTGGGGCCGTCCTCCATCAGTTCGGGAAGACTGAGCTGGGGCAGTGGATCTTCCCACTGCTCCCTGCCCACCCCATCCCCTCTCTGACAGCCGACAGCTCCTACAGCCCTCAGCCACTTCCTGCATCTCCCTGCACCCTGGCACTGCTCTACCACACAGGATGGCAGGGTGCAGCTTCGGGGCCTAGCTGGCTTTAGACGGTTGTAGTCTGGTTTTATTCTGGACTCAGAGAGCAGGTCATAGGAGATCCACTGAGGCAGCTCTTGACGACTTGCTGGGAAGGGTCCTCTGGGACTGCAGGGCTGGGGAAGGGCAGGGCCCAGGGAATGCTGGGTGGCTGCTGGGTGCCAGACCAGGAGGGAGGGGTCAGTCTCTCATTTATGGATGTGGAAACTGAGGCTCAGCAAAGGGAAGGGACCTGCCCAACGCCATGCTCACAGGGAGTTCCTGACAGCCACACGGGTCGTCTTTTGACACCTTCACCAACTTGGACTTGGCTCTGCCTTGGGCCAGAGTCTGAACCAGGCGCTTCTTGGAAGTGGGGACCTTTCTCCTGGGTTTTGGAAAATTACAGTTGTTGGCAGGTGGATAAGGCCACTCCAGGCAGTGAGAGGGGCCTGAGCGAAGAGCCGTGGAGCGGGAGCAGTGGGCTCAGCCTTGCCCCCTCTCCACCGTCCTAACCCCTTTTCCTCCCTGTCTATGCAGGGTGAGCCAGACCCACCTGAGCCCATGCATGTGGGAGACCTAGGTGAATGCCTCTTCCCCTTGTCCAACACGGCTATCTCATCCGGTCCGGAGGACTTCCTATGTGAGGTGGAGGCAATCCCGTTCAACCCCGTTCGGTCCTGGCTGAAACGTGAGGGCAGCCAAGGTGAGGGGTGGGAGCCCTGCCAGCACCCCACAGCCCTGATCCTGGGCATGCACCTCAGAGGGAGCTGGGTTTTTCCTTGGTATTATTCCAGACTATTATATCAAGTCTAGAAAGAACCAGATGGATAACTGACAATAAAGATAGGAATCTTAGGCCTGATATAACAATGATGAAATATCAAGAGCCAAATAATTCAGAGAGACATAATAATAATTATACCAGAAGCCTGGTCTAACAGAAGATTGATGCTGAGCTTCCTAGGAGCTGTGGAGAAAAGGGGAACAGGTTGGCACACAGCTCTCATCAAGCAGAAGAAAAGATACCAAAGTACTGAAGTCTTTTTCTAGAGCTGAATTTGAGAGGAATTTATCTCACAGATCTTCGCATGAGGTGATGTTGAATCACAGAAAGCCTGATGTCCTCAATGGCCCTTCTGTAAAATGTCCTGACACCCTTCTTCTCTATCCTTAGCATCCTGTCTGTGCCTTGTGCTTGTCGCTGGGCTCTAGGCACAAGGACAGAGGACTAAGCTGACCTGGCCTTGACTTGGGTCGCCTGCACCAGCAGTCCTCCAGGAGGGTGGTGGGAATCTGGTTTCACAGCAGTGGCTGGGAAAGGGGGGCAGAGAGGAGCTCAGCAGAAGAGGGACCCCAAGACCCTGAACCCACCCCAAGCACTCTTCTGGGAGGCCTGGCATGGAGTGCCTTCCAAGAGCTGGGGGTGGAGTGGCCTTTCCACTAAAGCTGACAGCTTCTGACTGACATGATGGCTGAGGTGCCAAGACCCCCACCTTCCTGAATCAAAACTCAGGGCAAAGGACCCAAGGGTCATTCTGATGGAATGAAATCATAAAATCCTTTCCCCTTTAGTTAACCATTCATTTGCATTTCCTTAAATAATAAGATGACATAGACTAGGAATCCTCCTACTTGGGGCCATTCAAGCTGCCCAGACACCTTGGGTACCTGTTTACATACTCCCCAAGCCCTTCACCCTGTCTTCCTCCCAGGAGGCACTGAGGGGCTGGGGGCAGACATTGCTGGCCCCCTAAGACCTGCCTAGGCCTTCCTTTTCCCTCCCCATCTCCTTGGCCCTCTCTGTCCCCAGAGGAGCGGGCCAGGCGGATCCAGCAGCCCTGTCTGCTCTGCCCACCCAGTGCAGTGCCCATCCTCCCTGTTGTCCTACTGGGCCCCCAGGTCTGGCGGGACCCTGTGGGGTGTCAGCACCTGGGGGTGACCACAATGAGCATTTGCTGTGCACCTGGATCTGGCTGGGAGCTCCACAGATGCCTCTGGTTCTTACAGCCTTTCCACCCCTTGAGGTGGACAGCTGGTCCCTGTTTCACAGAGGACGGAGCCCTAGGTCCTTGATCCTGGGTCTTCGTGGCTCCAAAAGCTGGGCCTGTGCCAGTGCCCATCCTCCTAGGAGTCACATGCCTGGCCCTGTGTTTCTTGCTTTCACAATGAGGACACCAAGGCTCAGAGAGGGAGACTTGTTCACAGCCTCAGCCAATTTGTTGTGTAGCCCCTGCCTGCCCTGCCAGCCCAGTGGGGGCATGTGTTTGGAGCCCCCTGCCAGGGGCACCAGCCTGAGCCTGCTCCCTAGCTCCCTCTCCTCCCTCCCCAGTGGTACCTCCAAGCCCCTTCTCTCCAGATGGCTCCAGCCCGCTCCTGCCCATGCCAGCTGAGTTCTTCCACCCTGCTGTGTCCGCCAGCCAGAAAGGACAGGAGAAGGGGGCTGGCACTGGGACTCTCCCCAAGATCGCCCTGCAGGGCTCCTGGGCATCCCTGCGGTCACCGAGTGTCAACTGCACCCTCCTGCGGCAGGTATGGGCACCTTCCTGGCTCTGAGAGCTTCCCTGCTGGGGGATATCAAAGTGGGGCCCTGAAGTCCCAGGTGGAGTTAGAGGGGCAGGCCTGGGGATGGAGGGTCTTACCTGTGCCATTTTTTGGGTGGGAGACCAGGGTCCAGAGAGAGGTGGGGGCTGTTCCTGCCTCCAATGCGGTGGAAGCAGGGCTGGGCCCAGGGTGTTTGCTCATTCATAACTGTTGACCCCAGATATGTGCCAGGCTGTATGCTGGCTCAGAGGCTCCAGCAGGCAAAGAATACAAAAGCCCTGTCTCGGGGGGTTTACGGTTTAGTGTTTAGAGTGTGTGTTGTGGGTGTCTTGGAGGAGAGATGATAAACTGAAATACATGCATAAAAAGGAGTCCACTTGGTAGTGACACATGCTAGGGAGCACATTGCACAGGAAGGCTATGGAGGAAGCAGGGGTGCTGGCAGCTCAAGCGGGGGCTGGGGAAGCAGTGAGGGTTGAAGCATGTGGTTATCTGGGGAAGAGCTTCCCAAGCAGAGGCCGGAGCCGAAGTTGGGGTAGAGGCTGCGGAGGGTCCTGGGGCCGGGGGCAGGAGGATCCGAGGGGAGGCTGGTGGGAGGTGAGGTCCCAGGTGGGTGCGGCCCTCAGGCCAGGGGCTGACTGCTGGAGCAGCATGACCCTGGCTGCTTCCTGAGGACCTGGGAGTCGGGTTGGGTGGAGAGCCCAGCTGTGGGGACCACCGTCAGAGCCAGCAGACGCCGGGTGGGTGCTGGCGTGGCAGAGGTGCTGGGGAGCAGTGGGACCCTGGGTGCTTTCGGAAGGGAGTGTCTGAGGGATTGGAGGGGCTGCACGTGCCTCCGTGTCACTGGATGGGACGGCTGCTGGAGGGGCAAGGCCGGGGGACCCCGGGCGGCCCCCATCCCCTGTCGCCTCCCCGCAGGCCACAGGGAGCGACACGTCCCTGGAAGCCAGCCGCAGCAGCTCGGCGGGCAGCCTGCAGACCACGCTGGAGGACAGCCTGACCCTGAGCGACAGTCCGCGGCGCGCCCTGGGGCCGCCTGCGCCCCTGGGGCCCCGGGCCGGCCTGTCGCCCGCGGCGCGCCGGCGGCTCAGCCTGCGGGGCCGGGGCCTGTTCAGCCGGCGCGGGCTGCGGGCGCACCAGCGCAGCCACAGCAGCGGGGGCTCCACCAGCCCGGGCTGCACGCACCACGACTCCATGGACCCCTCGGACGAGGAGGGCGCGGGCGGCCGGGGCGGCGCGGGCGGCGAGCACCCGGAGACGCTCAGCAGCCTCTCGCTCACCTCCCTCTTCTGCGCGCCGCCCCCGCCGCCCGGCCTCCCGCCCGCCCGGAGGTTCGGCAGCACCAGCAGCCTGGCGGCCGCGCACGGCCGCCGCCGCGCCGCCCCCGAGCCCCGCGGCCCGGCCCGGAGCCCCCCCTGGGCCGCAGACCGCCGCAAGGACCCGCGGGGCCCGGCCGAGCCGACCGCGGGCCGGGGCCCCCTGGCGCCCGAGCCGCAGCCGCCCCCCGGGGACCTGCGAACGGGAGACGCTGCCAGCAAGAGGAAGAGATGAGGGCCCGGGGGCAGCGCCGCCCGCCCGCCCCGTCTCACCGTCTTTTACCTCAGGAGCCAGGGGGCAGACAGCAATACTTCGTCCACAACCCGGGCATGGCACGGGGGCCAGCCGGCGCCGGGACGCCCGGACGCCGGGGCCGAGCACGGTCTGGGTCGGCCAAGGCCCAGACGCGGCCCGCCGTGGCCCAGCGGCGGTCCTTCCCATGCATATACATGTACATATATATGCATATAGAGAGAGACAGACATATATATTTATTTATTTTTTTTACTGAGAGCTTATGACTTCCAGAAAGTGCTAAAGTTGGGGAGTGTGGGCCAGGGCCCCGACAGAGCTTATGCCTGAGGCTTAGGGCTCAGGCCAGACCCACCGGGGGCAGCTGGGGTGTTGGCAGCCATGCTTGTAGGCGTCTCCCTGGGCGGAGAGTAGCTTGGAGAAGGCTCTCAGGCCTCCGAAGGTCCTGCAGCACACAGGGCCCAGGGTGTGCTTTTTCCCTTTAAAGAAGAAACGCTGCTAAGACCCCACCTCCCGTATTAGGGTGTCTGTCTTGTTCCTGACTGTCTAGTTGTTGTAAACAGTCTTTTGTAGACGTCCCAGAGCACATAAACTCTCTTAGCCAACCAGTTAGATGTCTTTCTTTAGAAAAATTGGGGTGGGGAAGTTGTATTTTCTTAGGGTAGAGATGGGGGTAGAGGGCATCTCCAAGCTGGGCAGGGGCTCTGCCCCAGCTGAGGTCTGGGTCCCAGTGGGCACTTCCAGGGGCAGGTGTCTGCCATGGCTTTGCCCCCAGAAGGCTGAGGGCAGGAATGAGGCAGCAGGAAAAGAGGAAGGATGATGGGCAGTGACAGGCTGTGAGGCGCTTGGAGGTCAAGCCTGTTCTGTGCTGGCCAGGCTGCCCCGAGGTGCCCTGGGCTCTGGTGGTCACTTGCATGGCCACTCACTACCTTTACTCTCAAGGTAGGCCCTGAGCCTGGCCATTCTGGGAAATTGTACCCCCCACTCAACTCCCTGGCCCCCTGAGCAACTTGGCCCCTCCGAAGGGGTTCAGGATAAAGCAGATCTGACAGGGTTCTAAGCAGAGGTGGGGGCACCTGCCTGGGTCTTGGGACCAGTCCCTCTTACCCACATTCCCAACTGTGTTCAAAGATGGGTATTTTTTATTTGAGTAGTTAGGCATTTGTTACAGTATATATTAGGAAAAAACACCCAGTGCATCAAACCCATGATGTCACAGGCACATTACTTTGGTCAAGGCTGTTTTTGAAAGTCAGTGGACTGAAGGTCAGTTTAGGAAAGACTGAGAGCCTGTGGCGCAGGCAGTCTGGACAGGCTGGGTGGGGGGTTGCGAGATGCCACACGTCTGGGATACACTGCCTCGGTGATAACCAGGCCCTTTGCCTTCTCAAGATCTCAGATTGTTTTGGCTGGGCCCCATCAAGGTGGGCCTTGTCCATACTCCCAGGCCCTGACCTTAAGAACTTGGCTTTGGGGTGTGCTGATGGGTGGTATGGGTATGGGCTGCTTGGATGGGCTCTGGGTACCTTCCGGGCGGGCCTGGACGCTGTAGCAAAGGGAGGAGGTAATGAGTGACTTAGGCTTCATGACCTGGAAAACCCTTCCCTTAAGAGCCGGTATAGAGGGCTGGGGAGGGAGTCATGCTCACTTTACACACGAGAAAACTGAGATCTGGAGAGGTGACATGGCCAGCCTGGAGTCCCTCAGGACACTGGCAGCAAAGAGGCTGGGATGCTTCACGGGGCTAGCACCTGCGTGTCTGGAATGAGAAAAAGCCCGCCCTGTGCACATAGGTGTGGATTCAGAAGGCAGAGCGCGGCCTGGGGCCTCTGCTGGCACTGTGGAGTTGTCATGGCCGTCAGACCTGTGCCCCTGGGGCTTCCCTCTCCTCACCCAGAAGTGCAGATGGGGCTGCTGGGAGGGTACTGAGGTGATACCCAGGCACTGGGCTCCCCGGATGGCAGCCTCCAGGGTTTGGGACCTGCTGGGCCCTCCCCCTTGGGAAGTGGGTAGACCTTGGGTCTCGTCGCCTCCTGTCCCAGGTGGGCTCTCAGTCAGCCCCTTGTACAGGCCTGCCTTCCCTGCTGAGCTGTTCTGTTATGCGGGTGCCCTCCCAGGGCTGCGTTGGCCCGAGCAGCACACACATGAGCTGTACATGTCAACATGTCCCTGGAGGGATGTGTGCTGGAGCCCAGAAGAGGGGCTGTGGGGCCTGGGAAGACCGCGTGGAGGGAGGGTCAGGACATCCGATACTAGCCAGCAGCTTCCGTTTTCAGGGCCCAGGGATCCTGTTTAATCCACATGGCAGCCCTGAGTGGTGTGCACAGCTACTCCACACACAGACCAGTGGTTGTAAGTGGCTGGGCAGGGAACACGTTCCAGTGTGTCTGACATGAAACCATCCCTTTGCCCTGAACTTGGTGGCCCCGGAACAAGCAGACATATGGGGAGGGCCGTCTAGGCAAAGGAGTGGCCCAAGACAAAGGGGCCAGGTGGGACAGAGTAGGGCATGTCTAGCTGAGCATAGAGGAGAGAAGCTTTGTCCCAGGAACCGTGGAGAAATGGCACTCATTCTCAGAGGACGCCAAGTATTTGGCCTCTCAGGTACTTGGCCTGTTCCTGTGGGCTGTGGGGGCGGGGTGCTGGGGAGCTGTGATTGGCCAGGACAAGCCAAATGGATAAGGGCCGGGTGAATGGCCCCTCTGCCCTCCCTGGTCCTGTGGTCTGTCCATCACAAAAGCACAAACTTACCCTAACCCACATGGGCCTGGCCCTGGGAAGAGTGGGGACCCTGGTGCCAGACATCCCAGGCCATGTTGGCAGGGGTTTGCAGAGTGATGGCTGGCTGACACCTTGGCAGCCACGCAGATGGGCCTAAGACCAGACAGGGCCGTGGCCTACCCCAGCCAAACCCTCTTGCTTTCCTCATCGGGCCTCCTGCACCAGGCGACCCCAGTGCACGGTATCAGCCTGTCTGCCTGTCTTGCCCCCAAATCCTCCCCCTGGAGCCATTTCCAGGGCCACCTCCGGCCCCCTTTGCTGCGCTTTGTAAGGGCTTGAGGCTTTGCAGCCACTGTTTAGCCCAGATACACACTCTTTTTGTCTTTGTGCAATAATCAGTGTTCCTGGTGGACCTGGGCTGAGCTGGGGCCTGGAGGGGAGGCGGAGACCTCCTCCTCCAGGCAGCCCTTGGCCTGGCTCTGCTGCTATGACTCTCACACTCCCAGTCCCTGTACAGTTTCTATGGTGTGAATGGACTTCCCTCCTAGTTGCTGATGGCACTGGTCCCTGCTGGCCCAGATGGCCCAGGCATAGAGAAACCAAGTGGCAGCTGCCACCAGTGTTGTTTTGAATAAAAACCCAAAGCCTATTTCAGAATTCTCTGTGTTTGTGCTGTTCTTTCCCCAGCAGGGTGGGTGTTGAGCTGGGGGATTCCCTAGGGGTGGGATAGGTATGTGTTCTCCGTTATGCTCAGGCTGTGGGGCTTGGGGTGTCTGGGACCTAGAAAAGCGCCCCACAGGAAGGCCCTCTCATGGCTGCGGCATGGGTCAGGGTCTGCCAGGCTGGCAGGGGCTGGCTCTCACCCTCTGGTTCTGTAGCTAAGATGCTGGGCCTGGGTGAGAGGTAACACGGGAACGATAATCTACTCACCTTTGGCAATGTTGCTGAATTCATATTATGGGTATTATTGGGACTCTTGGCTGCAAAGGACAAAACCCGAACTTAAATGAGCTTTAGAGTAAAGGCAACATTCTGCGAGTGAACTCGGGAAGGGAGGGGGGAAAGAAAGAAACAAGAAGAAATAACTTCCTGTGGCTCAAGTAGCTAAAAAGCCCAGAGGTGGGGTTAGCTTCCTGCGCAGTTGATCAGGGCTCCAACTCTGTCACCAGGTCATAGCCTCTTTCCACCTCTTGGCTCTGCTCTCTTCTACATCTGCTCATCCCCAGATGAATGAAAGCTGGCAAAGTCCATGGGATCTCATTGGTTGACTTGGGTGCATGCCATGGAGGTGCCACGCTCTGACTGGCCAGGCCTGAACTCTGGGCTACAGGACTAGGGGCAAGCCATCTGGAGGGCGGCCTGACAACAGAAAGGGAGAAAGCACCCCAGGAAGCTGCTGTGCACGTGCGGGGAGCAGGGGGTGACTGCTGCGCATGCAGCACAGCCTGGGGTTCTTGCCCCTGGCTAAGCCCCTCCAGCTTTGTCCCGAGAAGGGTGGCTCGCATCACTTTCCTTCAGGATGAGGCACGAGGCTCAGAGGGGTCCAGAGACTGACACCTGGACATCGACAGGCTGTGAGAGTAGAATGGCCACACTTGTGGCGTGAGGCCCGCCTGGTTCCCACCAGCCTCATCTGGGCCTCTGTCCTCCTTGCATGTCCTTTCTATCCTCAGGGGCATGGCCAGGGCAGGAGCATGGGGATGTCAGGTGCCCTGTCTGAGGTCCTGGCCACTGCGGACAATGGGGTGAACTGAGGCCCCCTGCGTCCTGTCACCCTTTGTCCTGGCACCCTTGTGTTCCCTGTTTCTGCCATATGGTCCCCGTCTGGTGGCCACTGCAGCTCTTGGAGATAACAGGAAAATCACTGCAGCCATCGAGGCCCCTGGCCAGGTGCAGCCACTCTGGATGTGACCCGATCTGGGTGCAGGACTGCTCAGAGCACCAGGCTTGCCCTGCTCAGGTGCCTCACGGGGGACCCCTTTGTAGGCAGAGCAGTGGGGGCAGGGAAGGAGCTCAAACCTGGGGTGTCGCAGCACCTGGTACAAGGCCTCAGTCTACACGAGCCCAGAGGAGGATTTGCCCCCATTTCCTGACGAGGGAGCAGAGGAGGACGGGCTCCACAGAGCAGGCCGGAGCCCGAACCCGGGTGCGGCCCAGGACCTGCTGGCTCCACATCCGGAGCCTCGGTCCTTCCCAAGAGGCCTGGTGCATCCACCCAGCTGCGGATCGTATAGCTGAGAAGTCCCCATCAAACCCTGGCTCCCCGTGGAGACCCGCAGCTCCAGCCCCTCCAGACAGACCTGCTGGACTCCTCCCCCAGGACCTCGGACTCCATGGGTCCAAAACTCTGACACTGCCTCCCCATTCCCATCCCCCCCTGGAAACCGGGGCCCTGCCTGGAATTCCTCCCCCATCTCCTCCCCATCAGCCCCCCGCCAAGCCTGTGCTTCTGCCTCCTGTGAGCCCCCCTCCCATCCCCCTCCACTCTCCCCCCTACCTCCCCACCCCAGGCTGCTGCTGGCTAAGGGCTCATTACCTCGATGGCCCTGCATTGTCACAGACCTCCCCCCCAGGGCCAACCCTCCCATCCACAGCCCCCAGCAACCAGTGGCCTGTGCCCACCAGGCACACCTAACCCACTCACCTCCCTGGGGCCTGGGTTGCCCTCGAGATAGTCCTGACCCCTCAACTAGAACCCCCCCAGCCCCGCCCACTTCTGCCCTGTTTCCTGAGGCCCCTCTGCCAGCCGTTGCTCCTGCTGGCACTGCCTCCCTGTTCTCACAGGATCCTTGGGGTCAGGCCCCTCCTCGGCTGTCCTTGCCCAGAACTGTGTGCATGGACCCTACCCACTGTGCCCATGCCCAGCTTCAGGCATGCCCAGTGCTGGGGGGACACAGGTCAGGTGGCAGCAGCCCCTTGGACGAGTATCTGGGCCCCTGTTCCACACTCTGTCCCAGCTCTGCCTAAACACCTCCTTGGCCCCAAACACCTGTGACTGCTCCCAGTGTCCTGGAGGGCCAGGCCCACCGGCTAACCTCACCTGTTCTCTTTCTCCCTTTCCCCTGGCTCTTACTAATCCCTCAGATCTCAGGTCAAATGTCACTTCCTCCAGGAAGCCTTCCTGACTGCCCCATGGCTTTGTTCCTTGACTGAGTCCCAGCCTGAGCGCAGGGACCATAGTCCCTCTTCCCAGCCCAGAGCCTGGTGCCACACTGAGCCTCAGCAAATGTCAGCTACATGCCTGTGTTTTGGAAGCAGAAGGGATTTTAAAGACCATCTAAGCCCTTCCCTCATTTTTTTACCTGAGGAAACTGACGCCCAGAGAGGTGGCATGGTGTGCTCTGGGTCACCCAGGGCGGTCGTGCCAGGGGTGAGTGGGACCCGCACTGCCTCTGCCCAGCCAGGGAGCCAGTGTCCACATCTCCCTTTGAGGCTGCTGGCCCCTGGGGAGCAGAGTCCTGCTTTGTTTTCCTCCCCATCGCCTGTAATAATGAGATTAAAAGCAAGTTGTGGCCAAGGAGAGAGACAGACTGAAAAAAAAGCCCAAGAACATTTTAAGAGAATGAAGAACTTCAGCCATCAGCACTTTTTATTTAGACCTGAATTCATGAATTTTAACCAAATAAATACTGGCATGTTAGGTATTAATATATGTACAATTATGCAAAACAACTATTATGGCTGTAATGAAAATTAGATTCTGACTCAGTGGTGGTGTTCCAGGAGGGAGGCGTCCTCTGGTTTCCAGCGCTGTGACCTCCTATTGCTGTTGCCATGGTAACCGGCTGCCATGGGAATCTGTGGACAGGAGTCTGGGCCTGTAGGGAGGGGTGGCTTTGTAGAACTGCAGGTCCCATGTCTGGACGGGCTGAGGGCAGCTCTGTCCCCTGACAGAAGCCTGCCCTGGGACTTAGAGGAGACTGGACAAGTCACCACTGGGAGAGGAGGTGGTAGGCAAAAACAGGACATGCCCAGTGCCCCCAACTCACGCATACCCTCTGGCTCCCCTTCTTGATTGCCCCTCCAGGAGGTTTCCTTTTCATCTTTCAGTAAGTATTTGTTGAGCACCTACTATGCATTAGGCCTGTGCTAGGTGCCGGGGAGACTAGAGTGACAGGACCCTGCACCCACGAGCCTGCATCTCAGAGCAGGAGACAAGTAATAAACAGCAAACACACATGAGCAGGCTCAGTTTCAGAGCCTGAGTGCCAGGAAGGCAGTGGAGCAGGTGAGGAGACAGGGGTGACTGGGCGGGGGTGGGTCCTTCCACCGGGGTGGTCAGGGAAGGCCTCACAGGGGAGGAGTCATGTGAGCAAAGCCCTGGAGGAGAGGAGACAGCCATGCAAAGGCGTCATCACCCCTCAGGGAGTAGCATTGCTAGATAAAATAGGATGCACAGTTAAATTTGAATTTCAGATAACCTGCAAATAATATTTTAGTGTAAGGTGTCCCATGCAATATTTACACTAAAAGGTTATCTGTTGTTTATGTGAAATTCAAATTCTTATTTGCTACATCTGCCAGCCTATCAGAGAGGGGAGGCGACTTGCCCAGCGGCAGAGGGGGGCCCACCCCCAGCCCATGCGCCCTGGCATGCCTGCCCTGGCCCTCCTGGAAGGGCGGCTCATGGCCTCCCTGCAAGTGCTGCCCCTGCAATTCATTCTCACTCTGTGTCGGGTCTGGGAGGGACCAACAGGAAACACCACCCATCCCCCTCTGCCCGCCCACCCTGTTCTGGGCGCCCTGGGGCTTCCAGGCCCTGAGCGCTCAGGGCCCCACCCACTGACCGGCAGGACCCCCCGGCTGGCAGCCCCCCTCCTCCTCCCTTCCCTGGGCTCCTTGTTCTTCACCCTTCGAGGCCCAGCTTGGGTGTCACCATATTGAGAAACCTCACAACTCCAGGTTGTCTCCACACTCTGCGGACTCTCGGCTCCCTGCTTTAAAAAAAAAAACAACTAGTCACATAACACATACTACAAAATTTACCATTTTTAAGTGAACACGTCAGTGGCATTGACATCCACAATGCTGTGCAACCATCACCACCATCCATCTCCAGAACTTTTCATCTTTCCAAACTGAAACTCTGTCTCCATTAGGCACTAATGCCCCCTCTTGCCTCCCCCAACCCTTGGCATCTCCCACTCTACTTTATGTCTCTGTGAACTTGACTACCCTGGGCACTACATGTAAGTAGATCATATGGCCATTTGTCCTTCTGTGACTGGTTTATTTCACTTACATGATGTCCTCAAGGGTCATCCATGTTGTAGCACATGTCAGAACTTCCTCCCTTTTTAAGGCTGAATGATGTCCCGCTGCATGGATAGGCCACACTTTATTGACCTGTTGGTGGACACCTGGGTCATTTCTGCCTTTGGCTATTATGAGTAATGCTGCTATGAACATGGTGTGCAAGTATCTGTTCAAGCCCCTGCTCACAGTTTTTCAGGTATATACCTAGGAGTAGAATTGCTGGATTGCATGATAATTCCACGTTACATTTCTTGAGGAACATCTGCACTGTTTTGCACAGCGGCTGCACCATTGTAAATTCCCACGCAGCTCCCCACATGTGTGTGAAGCTCGGTTAAGACCTGGATCCATTATCTCTATGTGTTCGGGCCTCCTGTTCTTGACCTCCTCTCTT